TTCTTGATTAGGTCTGCGTGAGGATTTTTTTGTTTCTCACTTTTTCAAAGAATATGTTGGTTTCCATCTTTTTAAAGTCTTTTCCTCGAATTCCGATAAGATGTGGTCGTCTACCATTTGTGCTCGATTTCCTCCGCCCGACTCTCCACCTTGTTGTACGGGTTGTACGGATAGGTCAGCGTGACTGTCCTCGACAGTGGTCCCTTGTGCGCGAATTCCTTGACGGCGTATTCTCTGGTGGGAAAGGTCCTGTAAATTTAAACACAGCCATGTTTGATTCTACAAAATTTGGAGGCACAAGGAAAAGACCCCTCATGTCATATCATAAGCTGCATTTACTTCTTCCATTATTTGATGCCGAAGACATTGCACCATGGTAATAGCTATCACATACTTATTAACAACCATCCCATCTCTCTTTAAGTGGAGAGCACGTTACTGTTACTTCAGGCTTAAGAGCATGGGTGTAAATCCCGGAGGATCGGGGTATATACTCCCCACATACACTTTTTGAGGTGGGGGATATTGAATCATCCTCCCACACAGTTTTTTGTGATGGGCAAAAAAAATTGGATTATCAAGAATTTTTTAGGACTTCTAAATATTCAAACGCATTCAGCATTCACTAAAAAAGCCACAGATATGCAATTTTGAATACACATTACAGATGTACAAGAATATCATGAACATCGACCTCTTGTGAAATTTTCACGTCATCCCCCGCCCCCATTTTTTTCGGCTTTCCGGCACAAATTTACGCCACTACTCATGAGCACAGCCACCGCACTCTAACGCTTGACATTTTGTTGGGTACCAGGTGAATCGCTATAACTACCCAACCGAGTTGATTCTTTTATGGGCAATCTCATCTCATTTACCCAACGGTTGTAGGAAATGTTATTTCTGCTATTATATTTTATCCCGTGCCGTGTTCTTTTTTGCCCAACAGTTGATAAGTGATTCACTTAGTACCCCCGCTGGGCAAACATTGCCCGGCGTTTTAACATTATCGGTACAGGGCAAGAAAACTCGACGTCTCCCTAACGAAAAACTTGCATCTTATAAGCATGTATTACTTGTATATCATTATATTTGAGGTTGCATGTCTAACCTGTAGCTGGATTTCATGGTTGACATGGTGCGCTGATCGGGAAAGATACTAGCTGTCTCCATGGAAACCCTTAAGGGTGATCTCGGAACGTAACCGGCATAACCAGGGCATTTCCGTACGCTGTGAAGATGTATTTACACAGCAAAATGGTTTCGTCATAAACATTTGACAGTAATTACGCTCAGTCAGTAAAATCTCCGTAGGTGTGTCCGTAAGAGAGACTTTTATTATTATTACTATTATTATCATACCACACTTATATAGCGCCCTAATCCAAAAAGGCTTTAAGGCGCTTCACAATATAAAACAATGAAAATAGCACTATATTAATATGTTAAGAATACAACTAAAATAATACATAAAAAATACAAAAATACACGCAAAACTGTGGTGCCAAAAACAACACTTCCCAGTGCCACCAGAAGACCAAACCCGGGGCCAAAATGTGTCGCCCCAACACCGCCGCGCTGGCGTCGCTCCCAGCACCCGCAGGTGCTAAAAGCAACATTCAGCGGCGCCGGAGCAACACCTAACAACGGCAAGGGTGTTAGCATGGTCGTCGGATTACCCTGCAATGACTTCAAAGGGCCGACACCGGTAGACATTTTTACTTTTGTTTTTTTTTTTGACTCAACATTGATTTCCATATTGCAATGTATATATCAAATTATACACAAGGTCAATAAATGAAAAATCTTTTACTATAAGAGTGAAAATTTAATAAAACCATAGGACATTGAAATAAAAGGGGGCAAATACGGTAGCATATTCAGAAGACAAAGTCTTATTACAAAAATACAAATGGCATTTGCATGCCATTTGTTTTTATACCCGCGGGGCAACTGGGCATGAAAGTTCTAGCGAGGCGGGTTCTGTAAATCATTGGTCGATTATTCTTAATACCCAGGATGCCTGATGGGGAAACCGGTGAATAGTCACGAATGGTTTAGGTCGTTCGAAACAGTCGCACAGTATTCCCAGTGTCACGTCCCTTACACTTACCGGTAACGCCGAATGATTAAGGAGAGGGGAACAAGTCAGCAGTCTCTCCTATTTTGATATAGCTCCACTGTTCAAAGTATACTCACGGTCAGTCTCTTTAACGCACACATCTTAATATTATTTTAGTATTGGGTACTTTGGCCTATTATTCTAGGCACATTAACAAAGTGATGCACTTTCAAGAAATCGAATGGCAAATTTTGAACTTACAACATGCTGGGAACTTTTTCCTCCCTGACCAACTGCAGGATCTTATCATCTAAGGCAATGTCCTCTTTCTTCTTGGAAGCCGATTGCCTGAAAAGAATGAGACCAAATTACAAACTTGTGCTGGATTGTAAGGAGTAGAATTCAACTACCGATAGCCACAAGTTTTACTGTGTGAAAACAGATCAATAACAGGCAAATTTGCCTCAAACACTTTCCCCAGAATAGTTAAACATAAACCGGGGACGGTACGATTTTGTGCGAGCCTCTTTTTGGCCGTGTTTCAGTACCGCTTTTCGGTCGAAGCTATGTAAGGTGATTCCCGTCTGCAGTTACTCCAGGAAGTTTGTCCAGACGGCCGTAGTCGTTGTTGCACTTATGTGGGGATGAAAAAGGGCGGCATTTCAAGAATGTTTTTGCGTGGATACGTTGGCGAAGGGGGGGGGGCAAATTGTAAAAAAAAATTGTTTGTGAAATGTAAAGAGAAATTTATCAGTTTCATTTTCCTTTATACGGTGCGTATAAATTCCTAAAATTTAGGTTTAGTCCCCAAAACACCAACTGTGGGAGGAGATGAAAGAAAATTTCTAGTACTACAGGAGGGAAGGAAAATCCTTGGATAATATTCCTAGTAAACCCCATCATGACGAGCAGGGTGGGATTCAAACCACAAAATTCCCCATTCCTGTCACTCGAATCACAACGTATTCCATAAGGATGTATTAGGGAGTCGGTCAATAAAGTAGTGTGAATCAACTTTCATTGCTCAGCGGTCTACTTACCACAGTAGTACTTGACAACATAATCAAAAATCATTATAACATTTGATACATTCAAAGATTCAAAGCTCACTTGGCATTTTCCGTTGTTGCCTTGACTGCTCCACCGCCAATTAGCCGACTAGTGACATTGCATCCAACATGGGGACGCTCTTGCACGCGGTCCCACACAGGTGCAACTCGTTGCCAAGGCAACTGACGGGAGTCGTATCTCATTGAACGATACGATAAGAAATCAGACCGGGGCTCCATGGTGGTTAGAGGTGGTTTGAGCTTTTGGAGAGAATGCACAAAGGAAAAATCATCAGGAAAAAAAGTTGGGAGAGGAAATAATTTTCCCTAGCAACCGGGGCTCCTTTGATCAGGACTGCACTTCGCTGGTTCACAAACGACCATGAAAATAATGCACACGTTATAAGTCGCGTGGCTATCAGCAAAACGAATGTTCCCGAACAACAGAGCTCTTTCCAACCGATGAGGAGGTGCTCCTGCTCAAGGCAGTTTGTGTGTATTACTTCTGCTGTACACAAACGCGATGACCTATAAACAGGCACCTCGTGCTAAATAATAGAGTGGATGTAATCTTCATCTCAATCTAAACTGTTTCTTTTTCTAAATGAACAGTATTTTAAGCCAGTTTGAATTTGGAAATCTAGCAAACGACCTCAAACAGGCTTATCTGTACTGTCAAATCAATGTCGATTACGATTAAAAATCAAACTTAGATAACGCCGTTGCTTCGTAGCAGTGTAAAAATAACCTAGGCCTATTTGATAAAGTGGTGGGGGGGATAGGCCTCTCAGCCTAACGATTTCATCAAATTCCAATTCGGCTAATTCAAATTGTATGTTCGTTTAGAATTAAATACTGAGTCTGATGACCAGACTTGATCCGAGAAGAGACAGAAGCAGCAGCGAAGGGTAGCTGGGTAGGCGAGTACGTCGCTGATAGACAACGGGTTTAATTATCAGGGGCGTAATGGTGTCCCCCCCGGAAGTCACCGCCTCCCCAATCGCCTCAACAGGAAATTTGGCAAAAAGAGAAAATATACGGCTTACACCAAGGGGGATGGTTGATAATAGACAACAGAACACCAATACGATGTCGCAAAAAGATCCCATATCGAGAATTCTTATGTCTTCATACTCCATTTGTTTGTTAATTTTACAGAACAACTATTTTGTGTTAGCACTTGGCAAACAAGTCCAGGCCAAGGACTTACAGAGAAGCAAGTTCAAACAACCTGCTTGGACCTTAATCTAAGTTCCCTAAATTACTTCTATAGGGTATCATGCTGGTCTTACTTCGGGGACCCGTAAGCACCCTTCCTTTGCCGCTTCCTTGCTTGACGTCTTCCAGTGGTAGGATCGGCACAGTTCCTCCACCCAGCCTTCCTCAATCTTCTCTGGGTAGCCGTCTGTGCACCGAAGTACTACGGGAGGCAGAGGCTCAGCAAGCCTCTGAAGAGGGTCGTCAGGTTCGTGGTTGTCGGCTTTGGGCTGGCGGTCCGCTTTTTGACGCGGTTTGGGCTTTTCTGGTGGTGGGTTGATGACTTTTTTCTGGGGCGGCGGATCTCGGACGATTGGTTTATCGATAAATGACCTAAAAAGTATATTTATTCGGAAGTAAAATCCCCTTAGGGCAACTGATAAGGGAATCAAAAACTGAAAGAATGAATAAGGACCTCGATCCTGATATAGGGGTGATTGATATTTACAATCATACACCAAACATATTTCTTTTGGAGGTCTATAATTTTTAACGACGAAAAGATTGACTTGTAGATTAAAAAATGTCGATGTGACGACTACAACCGGGGGGGGGGGTGTACACGCCGTCATCCCAGAGATCTACGCCGGTATCTAGGGTTATATGTTTTAGACTACGTGAACTACGAGTGATTTGCAATCAATCTGTAATGATTTTGTGATAATTTTAGCAGGCCTTTTTTGTTTATGAGTGTGGATAAATTATTGTTGCTTTGCATAGGCTTTGGTGATGTTTCGAAAATAGATTTAAAGAATACCTGTAAGACTGGGTTCCTGAAAACTGACAAAATAAAGTTCGGGATGGTCAGGCTTAATTAAATCGTGGCGGCTCACTTGATATCTGGCAGCAGCACCTGCCCCGTTCCTTTCTCCCATCCACGACTGGGACCCGCTGGCGAGATGGGGAATTCTCGCGGTGCTAACTTGGGTTTGTCCCGCAGCTGGATGGCAGGAAGCTGGTGGAACTTGATTGGAGGAAGGATGCAAGTATGAGGCGGGTAGCTGATACGGTAGGTTGTGGAAGCATGGGTGTTGAAGGCGTCTTCCATCCTTGTCGTCTAAGTGTCGCCGGTCATTTTTGTCGGACTCGCCGGCGTTAGCCAAGGCTGAATTGTGCAAGGATTAGGAAGTTTTAAAACTACCTGTTTTTTGCCGTATATAAAATAGGTTGCGACAAAACCGGTACCATGGAAACTGCCCGCTACTCAGCACGCGTCTCAGTACGCGCATCTTTGATTTGTGACGCGAGCCGGGAGTTGCTCAAGAAAGGTTTTACGTCACAAAGATATTACAACTTTGACAAGTATGTCACAGTGCTTGCTTTCCCAACGGCTCATGTCTGAAACCATGCCCATTTAGCAAAGCCATTATTCAACGGCCCCAGCAAACTGACAAAGTCTGTAGGCCTACTCAGCTGCTACTGCTAGGCGCTTGAAGAAAAAAAAACAAAAAGAAAAACAAACGGTGTACCTTCGTATCAGACTTTTGAGAAACGAATATTACAAATTTCTCTTTCAAAACACGAGTAAAACGACACAATGTATAAACAGACATGACAACACCGTTTAGGGTAAAATACCTCATCGGGTCCATTGTGTTTATTATTAACACCTTGCAAAGGATTTTTCGATAACAAGCCATCTTGCATTATGCTAACATAACATCGTAGCTCACCAAATTTTAAAACCTCCGTGTTCCTTAAAACAGTGGCCAATTAATACGAAGGACACGCACCGCACCAGTCTATTTACACTAATTGTACACTTATCTATTTACTACAAATACCAAATCGGAATGATTACAACGTTAGGACAAAAACACATTTAAAGGAACGTCTAACTACGGGTTCGTCCTAGCATCAAAATTTGCTTTTCAAGGGAAATGTCTATGAAATTAGTGAAAAAAATGCATCTTAATTAACTGAGCATTTGAGTTAAAGCGCTCGTATTCCGTAGTGCAGTACACATGTATTTAGCTGCAGCAGAACAGTGCTGTAAAATTCATTGGTTTCTTTCACTGCATTCCTTCAGACGAGTGATGTGAGCAAGCATTTGGACAGTTGACAGTTTCCGCTAAGGTTGAGAGACGTGCAGGTAAGGTCCACATGTAATCCAGCAAAAGCGCACATGTACGCTTTGACGGCCGTACAAACTATATGTACATCTGGTAACTGTTTGTTGATTGTAACTTGAGGAATACACTGAATTGGTTCAAAATTACGAAGTCAGATACATGTTTTGTTTTAGAAAATGGCAAAGAATGCCTCTGGATTCAATGCAAGAGGAAATTCTACACTTTGGGTCTCGATTTGCTAGTTGTGCCGCTTCCTAAGAGTCCAGGATTTAGATAAAGTATGCACATATAAGGTGGGCTAGTTTCTAAGGAGCTATATTTGTTGCAAAATTTTGTACTAAGCATATACATGTACACTACGTGTATGCAAATGCACATGTACGTTTCATGCAAAATGCCTACACGTATGAAGCGCAAATATCTTAAGGGTAAAAATAACACAGACGCCTCCACGGAACGGTAGGGAATACAAAAGATTAAACGTTTGAACTTGGCCCGCCATTTCAACATGCCAACCAATAACAACTCTTGGAGAAATTGCCAACCTTTTCTCCTACAGAGTCTCTTTCATACCACGTTATAGCTTTGTAGGGATCCTAGCCAAATCTTGGGACAGTGCAAAGACTCTGCTGCCTGCTCACAACAAACAGCGATTTATTTCACATACATGTACTTCCGCTACTTTAATCATTCTTTCGGTTTATAATAAGCACAATCAAACCCCATGCACAAGTTCACTTTGGAAATGAACGTCAAGGCACTCCGCCTTTAAGAAAAACAGCTCAGTGTCAATGACACTAAGTGAACTGATATGGAAAACAGAGCTGAAATTTCATATGTACAACAGAGGAAGACAGCGTTCTATGATACAACAGTAAGGGAGAGTGCAAAATGCGAGCCACGGTTGGAAGAAATCATAATGTGAGCCATGGCTGGAGGAAATCATGACTGAACATTACCAGCATAATAAAATTCTTGGCTGATCACAGAGGATAAGAGCTGTGGCATATGTTTGTTTAGTTGGAGTAAAGAATCTCTGTTTACAGTGTTAAAAATTTGGGGAATAAGAGTACATGTATAAATTTCACAGACTAGTAAGGAAGTTAGATTTATGCACAGTTGTATCCTATCATTACAGATTCTGTTTACATTGTTAGTGCGGGAAACCATTGCAAGAACTGAATAGCGATCATAGGCCATGAATGCTGCGATGAGAATAGTCCATATTTAGAGCTTAATTACATGGATGCCTGTGCAAAATTAATACACTATCATTATCTCCAAGACTCACAGGAACACGGCATATTAAAAAGGAATTAATCCACCTAAAACAAATTGCCACACACTGCATTAGAAATTAAAAACAATCCTTTAAACCAGATGGATTCCCATTCTGACTCAAACCAGCCAAGTTCATCAAACGTGGGTGCTCCTCCTCGTGCGGTTAGAGAACTTTGGAGTATGGGGCTGGGTGAGGGGTTTGCTGCTGGGCAGGACCTCCACGGCCTTGTAATGCCGGACGGGTTGGGCCCGGTGCACAGCCTCAGCCCGCTGGCGGGTCATCTCTTGCCGCAGCTCCTCCTCCTTCTCTGCCTCCCGCTGGGACAGGGCAGCCTCCTGGGCCAGCTGCCGCTCAAACTTGGCCTGCTCGTACTCCTTGCGGCCCTCAGCTCGCCGCTCTGTGTTCAGGGTAAAGTTGGAGATGTCTGGTATGGTGGAGGGGGATGTTGAAGAGGAGGGTAGGAGGAAATGAAGAAATAAACATTAACTTGAATGTTTGGTGAAGTGTTGTAGGACTTAAGTCTGCACTTTGACTTGCGTTTGAAAGGACTTATGCCTGATGAAGGCTAGCAGCACTAGCAGCCGAAACGTCGCTACCAGCAACACGACACCGCGAGTCATCGATTTACTGTATTCTTTTTACTGTATTTGTCATCCACCGCGGTGATTATGTTTATCTCTTCTAGGACTTATGTCCTGAGACTATAGATTTGAGTCCAAATTCGACTCGAGTCCTTTTTGTGATGGACTTGGACTCTGGCCAAAAAATATGGGGACCTGGCCTGAGTCCAGCAAAACTCTACTGCAAAAAAAAATCTTTGGTTATTCTTAGCAATAGCACCTTTTCAAATAAATGAAATCTTGCTGAGCATACCTGTCATTGGTTTTGCTGACTTCTCAGGCACAAACGGTTCCTCGTACAAAATGTTGGCTGGTTTGGCCTTGAAGGCACTGGCCATACGCTTGCATTCTTTGATTTCCTCTTCAATCTGGTTAGCAGAGATCAACACTAACATGTAATTATGACACTTTAACAGGTGTAAGACAATCAAAAACAGCAGAATAAACTGCCACTGCTAAGAAGGTGGGGAGCCAGTTTAATCTGAATACCACAGTTAGATCTCACAGTGCCTGGTGGCATCAGGTACATGTAGCTGACCTGTTGGAACTAGACAAAAGTAGGCCGTGTCCGAAACGGGCTTTACTTTGTAAAATCTGACCAAGCAAACAACATCACTTAGAAACACGTACATGTAGGCTTCCACCAGGGTATCATCCTCAGAGCAAAGTTCTAAAGGAACCTACAATACCTTTTTACTCCATTCTTCAGCCTTGTCAGCACCCTTGTCGGCCACGCAAAAAGGGGCCAACTGAGTAGGTGGCTTGACCTTCTTAACAGGAACGCCTGAGCACAAGCTGAGATCTGGTAAAGGCTGTGCACGGAACTGGCGCGCCTGCAAGAAAGCCAGTCATTATAGTTAATGTGAACATCTGAAAATGACTCCTAAAATACATGTCATGCAAGGTTCTGGTGACAAAAACTACGGAACTCATATCCACCAACCACGGCATTAAAACAAGTGACTAGCCAAGCAAACACAAATTCATACCATAGATGTATGGGTCATGTACAATCAGTTACAAAGTCTAGCACAGGTCTGTGGCAATGATTTCAAGGAAGACTTACAAGGTAGCCCAAGCAGAATTTTTCTCAAACATTCTCCAAAGAGACAAAATTTGTTGAGACTTTACTGTAATCGCAAGTTCTACTTCAAACTAAAGATTCCAGAATATTTCACGGATTCCAAATACATGTACATGTATGTTACACCAATGGAAACGTTGCAAAAGAATGAATATATTGTGTGCTCAGCAGAGCATCCAGGTTGTGGAAACATGGGGGGGGTATTTTACAACATATGGTACCAGGTGTGAGGAACAGGCATTTTTTTACAAGGGCAAAATGTTCAGAATTGGGTTTGGGTTAGGTGAGGAATGTGCTGTAACCAGGTCATTTTTTAGCACTCAAGTCCCAAGTCATTTTTTTCAAGCTTACAATGCGTACATGTACAGTATCTGACAATATGATCACTATGGGACAGGTACTTGAACACTTTTCTGACATCCTTGATTGATTGACAATGTGGCCAACATGTTTGTGTATGACTTGCAAAATACATGTATGTGTACATCTGCCTTGTCTGCTTACTTTTCCCCATCACGATGTGTGTAGGCTACCAGTTATACTCTGATTTCTATGTATGTATTCTGAGGTCTTACGCTCACATCGGCATGAACGTTCATGCTGTATTCTCAATGTGGTCAAGGAGAGGCCAAAAAACACACTGTGTAACGACCAGGCTCAGGTACTGTATATGAAGGATTCAAGACCATGACTTCCTGCTCATTAATTCACAAGTCTTAACCACTCGACTATCGAGTTGGTCAGGATTGGCTGGCTGACTCAAATCCAATAGAGCAGGGACCACCACAATTACATGTAGTCAGTGACACATGTATTTATTTGGCTTTGAAAGAGAAAAATCTAGCATGAAATAAACATCCCTGAGGTAAGCTAAATGAATATTATGAACTTTTTTTTTTCCTTCTGACAAATCATCATTATCAGGACAACAGAGAGTTTTTGATTTTGCATAAAGTCACAGACACAATTTTTCTGGTACATGTACGTGATTTATTCCAGCAATAGTCAAGTCCAATTTGTTCAAGCCACAAGTGATTTTCTTCTGAGTCAAGTCCAGTCTCAAATAAAAAAAAAACACAAACTGCAAACAAGATTCTCAGTCAGCAACTCAAGTCAACATCTCCTGAGTTAAACCAATTCAACCTCCTCTGGATACACATTGTGAGCAATACTATATTCCCACAAGTCAGTTTGGGATAGACCTTATTCATAAGGAAGCCATTTGCTTCATTGCTGGTACTTTTCACTCAATGACTATTAAATCGGGTGGTGCCAGACTATTTGGGGTTCTGTCGCACACTTTTTTAAAAATTTGGCTTAAAACATTTAATATTCACAAATTTTAAATTTTTCACCAGTATAAATGCCATTGTTAGCAATGAAGTTTTGTTTCAGTGCTTTGACTTTTATTCTCAGGTGCTAAAGTACATGTAAAAAAATTATTTGATGCGGCCGATACGTGAATGGTGCTAATTCTGAGCTTACCTTCTCTTCCTCTTGCAACATTTCCTGTTTCTTGACCTCCTTGCGGACCTTAGACTCCTGAATCTTCTCATCAAAAGAGAAGGGCTCAGGCTCAGTCTTCTTGTGCTGGACGCTGGGCACAAAAGGCACACCGACGTGGATGATAGGCTTGGCTTTGATGACATAGGAGTTATCATGCTGGACAAGGAAAGGGTAGGAAATGTTGAAGTTTTGAAATTTGTTGTGTGGCAGGTTGTACGAATCTGAAGGTTATTTCTTACGCCTTGAAGTCAGGTAAACCAACCTATGAGAAAAACTGGTTTGGATATCAAGTCTTACATTGCCCAGCAGGCAATCAGCACTTTCAGTTTACAGTTCTGTGATAAAGCAATGTGCCATTAAATATACATGTAGCTCCCTGCATTGTGGTTAGTTTTAGTCAATTCTTAACGCACATGTATTGCAGCGATTAGCAGAAAGTACAAAGCTCTGAAATTGAGTTTCATGTTCTAACGTGTGAAGTGTTATTGTCAAGTCATCTAGTGCTTCAATCTCCAGTCATGCCATCAAGTCTCAACTCCACCAACCTGAGGCTCTTTCTCCTTCTCTCGTTCCCTCTCTTCTCGCACCTTGGCTCGCTCCTTGAGGGCAAATGCTGGGGACTTTGGAAAAGTGATGGGTGCAGATTTTGCCTGAGCGATTCCCTGCAATAAAAAAATTTAATATTATGTGCTATTTAAGGAAGAAGGATTTTAACACATTTTGACTTTCAGTCTGAAAAAAGTAAGAATTAGGATAACCAGACAAATACTAAAGTGGTAGTAAAGATTTACCAATCCTTTTGGGTTTTTTTTGGTGTTTTTTTGGTGAAATGATTTGTGCTCTAAATGTTCACATGTTCAAAAGGAAGCAAAGCATTGAAAGGGATTGGCTGGTTTGCTTCCACTAAGCTTGTCAGAAGTCTCCCATTCTAGAATCTTCAGAAAATCCACCACTGCGTTGCAACCTGAAAGGCACTTTCTCTTTGTACTAAAAAAAAGGCAGGAAGCTTCACCTCAACATGACATACATGTAACAGCAAATGTGCTACATCACACAGTCCTTTGATCCAAACCTTCTAGATCCCTAGAAATTCATCATATGAATTTGGAGAGTTTTTGTTTGTTTTCTTCATAGCCACGAACAAATTTAGGCCTAGGTTATAATTTGAACTGATCCTTACTGCTCCTGAATAGCACTGACAATATCTCTTTATTTAGGCAATAACAGAAACTCCTTGAGGATTTTGAATGATTAAGGCAGTGGCTTCCCCTCTAACGAACAGATTCAAGAAATACCCAAACAGTCTGGAGGACTGATGTCGCATCTAATTTCTACCTGGCGGAAGTTGGAGGATTTTGAAGGCTGGACAATACTTTCCAGCCTAAAAGGGTTTCTGTGTGCCTGGCAAACTTACCACGGGGCCAGCCAGGATTTTGGCAGGCAGCGGTCTGGCCCTGAACTCGTAGCGTTCCTCGTCGTGTACCTTGGTGGCTTCCCTCTCCTGTAGTCGCTTCTCGATCTCCAGGTCAAAGCCAACAGGCTTCGTAGGCTCCTTATGGCTGGTAGTCTTCACACCTATGCCGATGTTGCTCATGACACGGGGATCCACAGGCCTTGCCTTGAATTTGTAACTGCAGAAGAGGGAAGTCCAGGATCCAGTGACTGGTGAGCCATTTTGCTATTCCAACACCATAAGCACTAAGTGAAGTGCGTCGTTCATGTATGTCATTTGATCTATAAACGCATGCAAGCTCTGCTCTATCAGTACGGTTTTACACTGTCTCACATGCACTGTTCAAATTAGTGTGATGTCAGTGTTTCTATCACAAATGACCTTTGCCTCAGGTAGAAACCAAACTGGCTTACTAGCTATTTCCAAATAGGTGTCATACATAACACAGTGCTTAGCAGATAAACAAATGACTGAGCAACATTTCCATTAGCTGCTGTTTTTCTGTGCTTAGTCAATTCCGTCAAGTTGTGTCTCTGATGAAAATGCACGTGCTAGTGTCTTTTCAAATTTACAACCAAAATCAGAATTCAATTAAAACATCTTAGCAACCAGGTCCTTTTTTAACTATCAGTGGACTTACATGTATTAGAATGTCAGAGATGGAAGATTTCATTTCTCTGACAAGTTTTAATGACAGAGAAATTAAAAACAAGCCAGTAACAAGTCATGAAAGTAGAAGTAGAGTAGATCATAGAAAGACATCTTCTACTTTGTACATACCTACATGTACTTGTAAATGTGTACATACATGTACATGGATTCAAACATTAGTACCAAGCACATTTTTGATAAGAAAGAATCAACCCAAGGGCTCAATAACAACGTAAAATCAAGCTTACACAGACCAAAAGCTCCTTCAAATCCACTAGCAAGTACTTTAACTCTGATTTGTTATCTCTGTGAACTAGCAGCCGACTTACTTTTTCATTTCAGCCACTTCTTGCTCTTCCCGCTGTGCCTGGCTGATGGCGGTGACTGGTCGACGTCGATTTCTTGACTCCAGGGCAGGGGTCATGGGCTGGGTCAGTTTGACCTTCTGAGGCCGGTCGTTGGCGGGCTCAGGTCCTGCAAAATACCACGATAAGTCACAAGCATTAGCAATGTTGCAGTTTGAGACTGTGAAAGGTCACATGCAGGGCAAAAATGTGAATATGTCTCCAGCATAACTGGTCTTTACGCACAAAGTATGGTGCCCCCATAAGTGCATGCCAGTGTTTTCCCCTATTGTATGTACTACTAGGTGCATGTGCCGGTAGGTACATGTATGTTTACCTTTAGGAACTTGTTTTCACCCACAGGTTGTATCTCTTCCATTCTGCATGAGTGAATGGGTTTTTTTTTAAGGGGCACAATGGTACATGTAGGATGATTATCGAACAATTTACAATTTTACACGTACATGTACATGTAAATACCTCTTGCAATAAAAATATATGGCTTAACTTACTGGAAGCCCAAGAAAAGTTGTGAGTATTCATTTCCAGGATGTGGCATCCTAACGTACTACGTAAATGTCGACAGACAAATGTCTTCCAAATTTATAATTTAGCTAAGGGGATGTTGCCTTGTACAGTGTACACATGTAGGTGCATGTACATGTACGTGCATACATTGGACTTAAAGAATACATTAAACACATAGCGGTCTAGTCCCTCTGCTGATGTCAGAGTGTATAGGTCCATCCGGCAATTACTGTAACCCTAACAGTCCTGCATCATCTGATTTCAACATATATTTTGGCAAGCATTCCAAGGATAAGAAGGAAACACACTTTGAGAATTGCATCCAAACCAGGAAAACATGTGCATGCAGTGCTTGATGTCACAACTAGCTTGATTTTCCTACTGTATTTCTTAAAATTGTCAATGGAAAATAAGTAGGCAAATAAAAGACTATGTACATGTAATTCCAAGCAAAGTCATTGTTGTGGGACTGGGTACTGTACATATACATGTACAATGTACATGTAAGTGTACCAAGGTGTAATGTGTGCTTTTCTCCACAAAACCCTCTGAAGAACTGCCAAGCTTAAGCTTCACTGATCAGGCCAAAAAGTAATACTACCAGGGTACATGCCCATGTAGTAACCACTTCTGACTGACCGTGTGACATCTAGATAACGCACTGTAAATGTGCACACACTGTGCGTAAACCCACATACTTGTATCATCATACGTGAAATCTGCACCACAATCCCGAGGTCACAGTATAATTATAAAGACAACCTGACTGGGGAAATCCCCAGAACCCTACATGTAAATTGTACATCCACTGAATCCGTGGCTGAATGCTTGGCACAAACTCTGCTCTTGAAGAAACAAGGCAGTTTCTCCCTCGCAAAGGGCAATTGTAAAGGAAAATCAACTTGACTGTGCAAACATTTTCATTGGGCATCCAGTCAATGTCATTGGGCATCAATGTCCTGTGAATGGCTTCTTAGCCAGCAGTCAGTCACAAGGTCATATTCAGAAGGAAATTTTTGATCATGTTCCCTGAATCTATCTCTGTCAGTGTAATCTGTTACATGGGGATGGTGTCAGTGCCAGACTATTTTGGGTTCCATGCCTTACTTTAGTCTTTTTTATATTGCTCAAAACATTCAGATATGATAAATAGCCGATTTAAAATATCCATCATCGTGAATGAAATTCATCTGCAATGAACTTTTATTCTTTGGTACCCAAAATAAAAAAAGGTAACCTCATTTCCAATTCACGATGGCCGACTCGTCAAGAAGGCCAAATGATATTGGTTTCCCTTTTGTTCTGGAACAGATGTTGTCACCTTTGTTAAGTTCCGCGGCAGGCTTAGTTCGGAATCTATCAGGGGTCTTGGTGTGGAACTGGCTGACCATTAGGGCGGTCGGTTTGAACTCGTAGCCCTTCTTCTCTCCGGCAAAGGACTCTTCATGGGTGCGCTTACGGCTGTCCGAGAAGTTGAAGGGTTTCGGCTTTGTGGGGCCTTGTGGTTTCGACTAAGGCAAAAAAACATTGGAAATGAAATCAAACATGACATTATCATGATGCTCAATCCTAATTCCTACACATTTCTGAACCTTCCCAAATCTTTCCAAATTCACTACTCTCTAGGAAATCAATAGTACCGATCTTTTTTTAACAGTGGTTCAGCTACAACCTTCAATCCTGTAAATTCCTCCAAACCAGAGCTGCCAACCTCACTTGACCAAAAATCCTATGATTTTACATTAAAAATTCTATTTTCCGAAAAAAATCCTATTCTTCACTGTTGGGTAATTCCCAACAAAGAACAATCGAGCAAGCTTGATGCATAGTCTGGGGCCCAAAATGATTTTGCTTATACATCCATATTTTACATATGCGCACAGACGAACTGCACAAATGAAGCAGCAATGGGCAATAGAGGGCCTCGTGGATGGACACTGCATCATGCATGTTGCATGTGTTTGCATGGCATTTCCAACATCACTAACGACTGAGGCTAACGTGCACACTCTAAAATAACTACAAGGCTTATTTTGGGGGTTAATCGTATTTTATTGAGAAAAATCATCGTATCGTATTGTCACTGAAAAATCATATAGAATACGTAATAAAATCGTACAGGTTGGCAGCTCTGCCAAACCCTTCTATTGCATTTTGTAGGATTTGGAGGGTGAGGGCATACAAGGAAAAGTGTTGCAAACATGTACAACATACATGTATTTGAATATTTATAATAAAATCATACAGGACTGTCACTGTATGCCAATGCACGCATGTGTACTTACTGGAGAGGGCACATATTTCCGCAGATTTCCGACAAAGTCTTCTTTCTTTCTGTCATTTCGGGTCTCCATCGGATGGCTCTTCAGTCTGGCATCCGTCTCAAATTTGAACTCCTCTGGCTTGGTGCACTGGATGCCTTTGTGCACTGCCACGACAGGAGCAGCCTCTTTGACAGCCTTGTATGACAAAGCCGCCTTTTTTCGGCTAGCCGCCAGCTTGTGCTGGAACTGGGCAATTTTTTCTAGCTCCAGCTCCTCGGAGGATTTGGCCTGGGTGCTGGGCTTCGCCATGCAGCGTCTGATAGAAGTACAAGCGGAAGTATTTCGACATGACTAGCAATAATTGAGAATTCACAAATAGGTATGTTTACGTGTAAAAACATTGGCAATCCAAATATACCTGATATTTAAAACAACAGATTGTCTGAGTTGTGAAAGTTTCCAGATGTCAAAAAAATACAGAAGCTGAGGGTATCAAAAGGATGTAAAAACATTGACAATCCAAATATACCTGATATTTAAAACAACAGATTGTCCGAGTTGTGAAAGTTTCCAGATGTCAAAAAAATACAGAAGCTGAGGGTATCAAAAGGATGTCGTTGAACTCTTGTCACAGGTAAGCAATGCAGGCAAGCCACGTTGCTTTTGAACTTGATACAGGTCTATGAGCATTCTGGCAAGGTTTGTATCAGAACTTTTGGGAAACCACTTTTCACTTTGCAAGGAACCCACCAAAAACCTTTCACAGTGCAGCAGAAGAACAGAATTTAGTACTTTTTTCTAATTTCCAAGGGAACATCAAGCCACTTGAACTGGCTCTGCCTCCCTTAAATCTTCAAAATCCTAAATACATATACATGCATACGTAACCCTTTAAGTAACCCTTTTGCAGGACATGGGGTGAAGGGAGAGACTTACTTCAGCAAGGTTGGAGTAGTAGGGAGGGTCAAGTTGGTCTTTGTCTTCGGCTTGGGGCACGCCTCACTGCACATCTTTCGTCGCTTGCTGCTTGGTTGGTCTGTGGGTGCAGCTTCGCTGCAGGGGCCACCCAGAGCCGAGTTGGCTGAGCGCCTCTTGACGGCCTCGGAGGAGGCAGCACAGGTGCGCTTGGTCCTTATCGTTTCGGCAGAGCGGCGGGTATGCAGTCTGGGCGATTTGCGCGCTGGTCTCGGTGCGACTTCCACAGATCCTTGCCGGGAACGAGTCCTGAAGGTTAAATGGATACATTGTCAAAAAACAAAATGGACCATAATGATACGTGCATATCTAAAATATTTTAAATTTCTCAGCTCAAAGAACTATTTGAAAAACTCAGGAAATATGTAAAGTACAAGGTAAATACAGTACACATGAACCAATGGAAAGTGAGAATAATATGAAAATATCCAAGCTTTAAATGTACCCAAACTTTGTTCAACTGTCAATTTGTACCAATTTGTTATGGCATACATCACATGAAAGCTACAAAATGGGGAAATAGCTGTTAAGAATTCGCAAAGATTAAGTTTTTGGAAGATTATGTAAAGTAGTAAGTGGAGGCCCAGTCAAGGGTTTCAAAGTTGTTCATACCGGAAGCTGACCACATTCCTAAATAATGAAATGGTTACAGAATATTCCACTGGACTTTAAAACTTCATGAATTTCATCCCTTGTTGGGATTCTGAGCATTGGGCTACCGGGGTGTGGGCGAGGCTCTTCCCTCACTAGCTATGCCATTTTTCTCCATCAGGCATCATGAATGTTCATTGACAGCCCTACATACATGTACTGTATATCCTGCCATAGTCTCCTCAATCTCCTCGCCATTGCCATGCCCTGTGACCTGACCCTCTCTACTGGTCCACGAACCCGAGTTCCCGCCAGTTGGCTCAACAACCTGTCAAGCAGTCCTGTGGGACCGGCGCACGTACGGGATCTCGAAAGTCACCCCAGTTCGCCATCAAGACCAAGGCAAGAACTCTCTTGCGACGCTCCACCCCTGAAGGTACCTCCTCTTTCACAGCCATGACCAAACCACTTAATTTACTGACTTTGTAATGTAAACTTTTTTTTCAATCTCAGGAGTATTCTTTTGTCGAGTGAATATAATTAAATTGTGATTATTTCTTGTTCCTAAGACCCTTAATTCTGGTATTCATTTTCTTATACAGTGTTTCATTCCCATATTTTTTAATTTTATGTCTGTTATGTTGTTTTGCTTGGATTTGAAGTGGCTTTGTAACTCTACAGAATGAATGTACACTGTACATGTACATTTCTAGCAGTATACGTAGTGGTACATACATGTACTTGTATACATGTCAAGAAAGGTTGTATGCTTCAAAGAAACAAAGAAGAGAGAGACATTGTATAAGAAATGCTACCCAAAGATGATATACTGCATGTACATGTACCCACTTTTTCTTTTCCGCTTTGCTCTGGTTGGTGCCCGCAGTGGTGCTAACTTCATCTCTGTTGGCAAAGCTGGTGACAATATTTGGGTATTGCTTGCGAGCTATGGGCTTCTCTGGCTTGTCTTCCAGGCTATCGGTCGACATCTCGGTCCCGGAGGAATCTGCACAGGATGAGGACGTCTCGGTTGCCAGAGATACGGATGATTTCTGCGATGTACTGTCACTATCATGGCACAGGACACTCTCGGACACTGTCATTGAGGGACAGAAGTGAGCAACATGTACGTTAAACATGTTTGTACAGATACAGACGATGGACACGAAAGTAAAGATGCCTTTTCTGTCTCAGAGCAATTGATAAGGTGGTACATGTAAATACTAGTGAAATTTCTTTTGTAGACAATTCATTATTAATTTTCCACACGCGATGAAGCATATGTATTAATGAGGGATCGTCAAAACTCGGCCAGCTTTGTTACATGCACACGTATTTTGGTTGATAGCTTTCATCTGAAGTTCATGGACAAAAGACAACTGTCCATAATCTAACGAATGTCATCAATAACGTCATAAGGCATTGTTTCAACTGATAAGGGGAACTCGGTTTTAACGTTTGTATGCAGATGTTGATTAAAATACATAGATGTTACATACAATTAATTACTGCCCATATGCTGTACCTGGCATACTGGTACATGTATACATTTTTATGTAATTTAATCTCACATACTGTATGTGTACGTATACATGCACATCTTTTTAATATTGTGTGTGAAGTTTTTACAATGAATCTAGACTGGTACATAAAACAAAAATTTACAAACATGTAACAATTTTAAGATAGACAGACTTTCATAAAAAAGCAAGAAAGAGAAGGGTTTTACCACGACATGTACAGCCAATTACATGTACCTGTGCATGTACTGTATATTAGTTGCAAGTGTGTACATGTTCATGTTCATGTGTAGTAGTACATGTACACACAACATACATATATGTATGAAATATGAAATCTTATGGGATGCAATGCACAAGATGTATGTATATATACATGTATGCACATGTACATGTAGGTTCACTGTACACATGTGTACATTTACATGTTCAAACCTACCTGCCGGCCCATTTTCAACACTGTCAGCCGACATCTCATATGTCTCAGAGTCAGAAGAAGCTTTGTGCTCAACCGAAGTCAAGACCTCTGATGACCCCTGTGGCTGTGAATGTTCGGCAGCATTCTGAGCTTTGTTGGAAGTGGTATGGTCGGCGTTTTCATCCAGCTGGAGAGGCACTCCATTCTCGTGGTCAAAGTCTGTAAATCATGTCAAAAAAGTTAAAATATATGTATGTGAAGGTGTGGAGTAAATATTTGCAATGCAGTTGCCACATGTTACAAACGTACATGTACGTTTTAGAGTGCGATTTCCCAAATGTGCAGGCATTTTCCCAAAAAGTATGGCACTGTTGGCAGAATTGCACAAATAAAACCCATTTGTACACAATTATTACATTAATTTTTGAATTGAAAGTATCTTTTTCTAGAACTGCATTTTTATAGGCATCCACTGAGACATCACTTTAAAAAATTGGTCCAAGAAAAGTAATCAATCAACTACATGTACATTAACTACAGAAATTTGAAGTCACACTACAGTGACTGTAACAACAGCCATTTTGACATTTTAATTCATGGCAATTTTGTATATTATTGGTAATCGGTAAAGTTTTAATTTCGCATCCCCATTGTGGTAAGTGGCAATGTGATAGCACCGTTGGTGTGCATGGTGCTGTGTAAAGAGCACGGACGGACAGAAATATGTAATAAACGGACTGAGCGATAAGATACTACATGTTCCAATGGGCTCTTCCAAAACTTTGGCAGCAGTTTAGATGTCTTGACATGGAAGAGCCGTCGAGACGATGAGGGGTCAAGTGACGTATTGTTCAACGATCTTATTTTAAAAATGGCGACTGTGAAATTGAGCCTGTTAGATTGAATGAATAAAGGCAAAAAGACTGGAAAATACCTCAATAACGTGAGTGAAATCATTCAATAAACAGTTTTTAGAAAGCGGAAAAGTCAAGAATCATGTTCGTGTGCAAAAGAAATTGTGCCCACGATGATAAGTGGGTGTGCCGAAAATGTTCAGTGCGCCGACACGAAATTACGGATGTGTGGCTAAGGATGGATCGAGAGTGAGAGTCCGTGCCACACTAGTGGGGCTATCCGGACCCCATGCCTTTCTAGTTCTACCTTGACGTCACCCGGACCATTGTGTAAAATCACCCATACAATGGCAGTATTTCCGATAAGGCTTCATCGAATTTGAGGTTAGCTTCTTTTTCTTTGGGAAAATCCACAGCTTGAACACTTTTCAATCATATTTTCCCGTGAGAGCAAAATTTTACTTGAGGATGTGTACATACAGTGTGAACTTAAATATATACTGTTTGTAACTAATCTGTTTAAACATATATAAATTGTTGTATGAATTGTAATCAAGGACGGCAATGTGAAAATAAATGTCCAATTGAGAGAGAACTGGACCAGCCATGACAGCACGCACTAGGCCCCTACTTACTGAACCACTCATCAGCGTTGTCGTCCACATCTTGGGGAACGGTAAAATCGACAAATTTTGGGCAATCCATTTCGTAAACCTCGTCCACATAATCCATCATCTCTCCTTCTGCCATTTCGGCATGTACTCGAAGGTAAAAAAATCTGTAAAGAGAATTACAAAACGTGAAAGGAACTGGTTTTCTGTCGAGTTTTTGTCACAGTCTACACGCAAGTACATTTCAATTTCGTGTACTAGTACGTTGGCCAATCAGCTTTGTGCTCTGTCACCATTAATTCTGTGCGCTGATTGGCTGTCGACTATTAGTCTGATACTGCTTTTTGTGTCTGGTGCCCAGTGCAATAAACATGTACATGTGATCAGCAGACGGTGCTTGAATCAACTGGCTATGGCTGGAGTAACACGCACTCTAGTATCTGGGAGGTTGCAGCTGCGTGGCTATCTTAGACGAATCATTAAGCCATAACTTTCAGACATGGCTTACTAATACGAAAAGTTGGCAAAAAATGCAAGTTCATTGCTTGCGTTCAGGTAAAGTTGGTCACGTACGCACAAATATCTGCTTACAATTTACACGTACGGTTTTGTATTCCGCTTGGTCTACATGTTCGTAAAACCATGGATGAATGTGCATGGAAAGAGTTTCGCATACCTTTAAAATGTTATAATAGCTGTCAGAAAGCATGTCAGAAAATGATAACATTTGGCCTAAAAAGTGACACTGACAATGACAGATAAGTCCCATACCATAGTTTTGTGCTCGGGCCTCAACAGCTAGCTAGCATCACAATGATCACGTTGTCCGAAGGCCTAGGCTAGGCTTCATAGTGCTGCTGCTAACTGCTAGGCCTGTGGAACTCTTTCTATATGTACATGATGTATAACCATACTAATTTAACAAAATTTCCGGCTGATTGTTGTCTTGGTCTGTTAGATTGGGTAATTTACATGTAGCTTGGCCTGTTAAGTGGACATAGTGGATGTACATGTCTTGAATACTGGTCAACTTGTACAGTACGTGCCAACTCGTACGCCAATGAACACCAAATGGTTCAAGTGGTACATGTACTATGTAATTGTTACCATTCATTAGAACAACATGTGTGAGCATGTGTGCTGTGTGTTGCCATTGCCCTCAGTGGCTGAAAGGGGGAGTTAACCAGTAGCAGTACTACTGACTAAGCTAGTAGTAGTAGTACTACACTGTCTATCCGTATATGTACCTGATATGTATCTGATTGTGCCTTTGGAATTGGTAATCAATGAATTTCTGTTTGCCCCAATTAATGATCAAGGTGATTGTTAACTCATACATGTATTCCATGGATTCAATATTGTCTCTTCAGATAAGTGATTTTTTTAATGGGGTGTTTTTTTGTGTTTTTTGTTTTCACTTTTGTAATTTTTATGTCCATTCTTTTTCTGACGACATATTCTTGGAAACAGTTTGATGAAATGTGATTTGACTGTAGTTTAGGATGAATTCGTTGGGGTTAATAAGTAGGCCCTCATTGTTTTTGACTGATCGGCAGAAGAGTTTATGCAGTTACAAGGGATTACATATTGATGTAAAGATGCAAGGCAGTGAATCTTCAACATGTTGGGATTCGTCTGAACTGTCTGAGTCAATCTTTATCGATACTCACTCATGGTACAGGATGAAAAACAAGCAGTGCATCTTTATGCACAATTATATGGAAGACATGCCAGTGCAATACATGAATACTGTTTGTTTCCACTTGACCACAAAGTAGAAATGAAGCTATCCTCTGTGCTCACCATGTGGCATTGTAGATTTGGAATGAATTTGTTCAAAAAACAAAATTTAAGCTTTCTCAAAAAGGGAGATTTAGGAAATCATTTGCATGAACACCAGTTTCAGTCTTGGACTAAGTTTTGAATCCCAATGAGCTGCCAGTAGTATTGGCCAATCAGAATCTGGACTTCAAGCTCATTCATCCAGCACTGACCAATCACATTCATCACACAGACACAAAGGCATCGACAGGAACCTTTCCCCTTTCAAACATGAAAATGTGGGTGTTATTTTGAAAATATGTCTTATATATTATGCACCCGTCTGTATTTCTTGATGAGTAGGTTATTCCGAGCAAAATTGTTGATTGATGTTTGACTGGTGCACATTCCCATAGATTTATGCATAAAATTCATGGCTTGTTTGTCATCTACATGTAATCCCATGATGGATTGAGAATGTCAAAAGGTTTATAACAGAAAGATGCCCCAAAACACATGTATACACCACTGCATGTGTAGTGTTCTGGGATTTTTCTATTTTGGGGGGGGATTGAGCACTGCTGGACTCATTTTATGTCCAGCATAAGTGATTGATTGATAGCTAAATGTAACTTTCTTGTTTTGCCGATCTTAGTTTTCCTGAATGAGCATTATGGAGTCGATCATCAGTGATGGACAGCGAGTTCTCTTGACTTGGGGTGAGGGACAGGACCCACAGTGCATCAGGACGACCGTTGAGGGATTGAGTAGTGCACTGGGGCAGACTGGCAAACTGCAGGTGGAGAACATTGACAGACTTGTCCTTGGTGAGATGGTTGTAGGCGCATTTATGTCAACTCTTGTCATTGCAAAGTAGGAAAAAAATCATGTTCAGCATTCCTGCCTGTTTCCTTTATGGACGTCTGTTGGATTTTCTTTTCAACCAAAGGAAAAAAGAGACACAAAACAAGCAAAGAGTCAACCAATCCATTTGAACATAATGCACTTGTGATGTGGAACTGCCAACTTTTTAAAGACTCTTGTGGACACTTTGCACATCGTGGAATTGACCATTCGATGACTGGTTCATTAATGAAGTGTAAACTTCCTTGATATGCTCATTTGAGATTATTGTACATTTTGAACTTTGAAATAAACTAAACAGAATGAACTTGGGGGCAGCCCAGGGTAATAAGCCTTTTGCGAGTTAACTTTGACCCAAATCTGGTACACTGATTTCTTTAAATTCACATGAACATAACAACTTGAATTCTCCTTACTAAAACCACTGTTGCTATACCTCATTATTCGGGGAAAGCTTTTGCTTGGTTACATAAGAGACGCCTTGGAACAATACACTGTTCTCAATGTATAAGAAGGGCACAAAGGATCAGTCTATTCCAGAGATGGTGGTCGCTATGCTCAAGCTTGCCCCAAATCACAAGGTATAGCAACAGTGTCTTTAATGTGGGGAATTCAAACTGTTATGTTTATGTGCAGTCAGATAACTCAGTGCACCAGATTTTATTCCATTTAACTGACAAATGGCTTATTCTGCATGTGTTCATATGTACAGTGTACATGTGTATATTTCATTTGGTATCACCCTTTTCCTTTTATAAGACAAAAGTGAAATTTAGCATTAAAAGACTTGTTCTCACCCATAAAATTTGTATTCGCATGTTCAATTCTATTGCAGCTGCACATAACAAGTCTACATTCGATGTGGCTTTGCTAGGAGCTGTCAATCCTCCCTCTGTCACACATACCATGGACCACCTTGCTGAGGTGGCCAGAATAATGAAGCCCAGTGGGAGGGTGTACATCAGAGAGCAGACCACCCAAACAGGTGTGTTATATTAGTCCTGAGTGGTGTTACCAGTGACGTAGCTAGGATTTTACCACCCAAACAGGTGCGTTATATTAGTCCTGAGTGGTGTGTGTTACCAGTGACGTAGCTAGGATTTTACTAGGGGGACACCAGCTGTCAGTGGTCTGTTTTTGGGGGGTGAGTTTTTGTTAGCCATGTTCAGTATCCATTCATCTGTTTGTTTAGTGGGGGGCACCTGGGGGGCACTGGGAATTGGCTTCACCACTGGGTGTTACTCCATTTAAATGAGATACATGTACATGTACACCTGTCTACAAATGATAAACTTCACCTCTTATATTCATTCTGCCCTTAAGATGGAGGGCTAGTTGGAGGGTTTTTCACCATTGCACTTGAAAAAATTTGCGGAACAAACTAACCGTACAAATTTGGACCAAGCATGAAAAGAACATGTATGTAGGTCGCATTGTCTGGCCCACCAATGTGAACCAGTGTGCGCCTAGCATTGTACATGGGTTTATGGTGGTAGAGTAATAGGAGGTACCCTGCAACAAGGATTACAAATTGTGATTCTTTAATTTGACAGAAAATGGGCCAGGCAGGACAAAAGAGAAGCTCGTTTCTGTACTGAAGGTGGCTGGATTTGTGGACATACATGTAAGTGAGATTAAACAGTGAGCTAATGATCAGTCAATGTAAAACACTGTTGAGAAATCTCTCATTGTCACACACAAGATACATTCAATACTTGCTGTCATTTCCAATTTCCAACACTGCCTCTACCTTATTCCAACACCCTTGACTTCTTTGATGGTCGCTAAGCCTGAACCCACAGGTTGTTCTCGCCAACCCCTTCAATAATTATGAGCCCAGTCACATTTTGCCAGACCAGTCAAAGGTAACAAGTTAAATAGTGTCAAAGGCACACCTTTTTTTATTTGCCAAAGTTCAAATGATCAGCTTTTGATTTGATCTGCAACTGATCATTGGCTGTCTTTTGATGGACTTGTAGGGAGTTGCAATTGACTCGGCCGTAGCACTGTTAATCCCTGTGACATATTTGTCATGAACCATCTTAATCTGTTAAAATCAATCTCTCCAGTACATATGTAATCCTGTTATTCTGACCTGAAAACTCATTCTCTTGGAAAGAATTAGTAGCAGGGTTGTATATATGTAGTTCTAATAAATCAAAAATCGTTACAACTGGATTGTTGAATCTTTGCAGCAGTTTTGGTTTCACTGCAGTAATTTTACAAGTTTGATTGTGAGACCAACAGTTTACTTCATGAGCTCATGTTTGCAGTTATTGCCTCTCCCAAATGGCACCTCCGCATTTATGCTTTTCCCGTAAAATCTTGAGGAGAACACCATTTTCAATGAGCGTGAGTATTTTTAATGAGTGTGAGTGACGATTATTTTCAGTGGCAGAAAATGCCTACGTTTACACCTTTTTCGCTTTGATATTAACAGCTAGCATCAACCTTTATGCCCACAGCCCAAGTCGGCCCTGTTCAACCCTGCCTTCCAAAACCTGGCCAATGGCATAGACGGCGTGACTGAATTATGTTGCAGCAATCCGGCCTTTGAAGTTGGGTCAACAGTTGCGTTGCCTCTTTTTGCAAAGAAGACAGCTTCTGCAGGTACAATTCTTGAACCATACGACAGCCAGAAAATCGTAATTTTTTTGGTGTCTGCTACACCCAGTGGAAAGAGGATACAATTCACTTGATTCTCGGAAAATGTTTAAGGGAGTGGAATGCTATTTTCTTTGTTTTCTCTTTGCCCAAATTAGAAAATCCTGAAAGGGAGGAAACTTGGAATCCTTTGACCACTTTTCCAGTAATTTGTCACTTGAGAGCCTGTCCTCCCTTGTTCTAACACAGTTCTTCTGACAGGGATCCCCACAGACATATACTCACAACAGGGATCCCCACAGACAGATTCTCACATGGTCAAAATCCTCATTCGTTTTCACTTCTCATTGCTCTTGCTTGAATTTTCCTGTGCTGATATATTTGTTGTCTGGAAAGGTAGGAAATTTTGGCTCCACTTTTTTTCCAGATGCACCATACACATTGAACTTTGCAACCAATGCTCTGTCCTCATGTTGACAGATTTTCTCTAAACAACAAAGTGGACTTGTGCAGACAGAAATGTCTTAAAACTGGGTCGGTTTCTTCTGATTATCTGTCTGTAGACAAACCAAAAGCAGACTCCAAGAAGGTCTGGACTCTGTCTGCGTTTGACATGGCTGATGATGATGTGGTAAGAATTGTAGCATAACTGTTAAAGAGGTGTTCAAACAGTTCATTGACATTCGCGGTTTTGAGTAGGTTGGCCATTCCAAAACAATAGATTTATTCACAGAAAAATGGAGAAATAAGGGACATTTTCTTTCCAAATGTATCGGGCCGAAATCAAAACTAAGATCAAGGTCAAATCTTGTGTTTATATCCTGTGAATGACATCACGCAGAAGACATCGTTTACAGTAGACATGCATGCAACTATGCCTGGTGACACGAAATGCAGAATAATTGTAAATTTAGACATACAGGTATCTAAAATTCTATTATTATGGAGTAGTACGTACGTGTACATAAAGTTGTTTGAGAAAATACAATGTACATGTAGCATAGATGCCCTGGGTTTGCATACGTTGGTGCATTGTACAAATGTACGTGCACTAATATGTCTGGCAACAGACTATTCATACACTACAAAGAATTAAGTGGTCAGAGTAGCTGTGTCCGGACCACTGTTTCGCATCTGAATGGCCCCGTGCAGGTGTGTTCATTCTGTCTTCCACGAAATTCTGCTTGTGAAATTCACATTTTTTTTCCCAGAAATATTAGTTAGAAATACATGTATGTCGAATTCTTGTGGTAAAAGTGCTGACGGATGCAAACGCTAAGACGGCAATGATGATTACCTCATCGACGTGAAGGAGGAAGCGTAGGACCTGCTGTTGAGGTTTGTGGTACCAAGCCATCTGTGGCTGTGATCCAGCTGGAAAGCGAAAGCATAGTTGCTGGTTTGGCAAGGCGATCCGTGTGTTTTGCCCTCATTTCTTTCCTTCACTCGAGTTGCCTCCGAAGAAACCTGATTCGGTGGAGGAAGTCTGAAAATCATTTTTGGCATATCACTAATCAGCGACCAGGGGGAAGGTTTAGAAATCTACCCCCATTGTGTTGACCAACTTGTGTCCAGGCACGAATCCATGTGAATATGTTAATTGCGCGGAAACCTTAAGAACACCAAGTCCAGGTTTTTGCAGGCTTTTGGACAGCAAAAGACCAGGGTTTGTTTTATTTCATGGCAGTAGTACAGCAAATCACTTAAAACGTAGTGGATAAGAACATAGCATTTTAAGCATGCCTTCACTGAACCACTAACTTACTGTAGCTACAGGCATCCTTAGGAAAAAAGTCATGCAGAAACTCAAATTTGTAACAATCTTTCCACCATAAATAGGAAAACTGTCTCGTTTCTTCATGTTTATTTCAGAAGAGGCATGTAGTTTTGTCCCTGTTGTAGAAAGGTTCATTTTGCAGAAATCAGGGTTCCTTTTTAGTACATGTGCCTCTTTTCATATCTAGGTCACAGTGTAGCCACAGTCTGTTTAATTTTTTTGTTAAGCAGGTTAACCATCCAAAGATCCTATAGTTTACATCATTGTAACTGGCACTCAGCTGATGTCTTTTGCTAAGCACAAAATAATTTCTCTAAGCCGTATTTCTTTCTGCTCAATTTACATGTGCTAGGCCCATAGAGGCAATGACATGTATATCGAGCTGCACCCAAACACTTCAAGGTATTGGAACTGACAGCTTACACATTTTTATTGCACAAAAGCACAAGCGGTGACATGCAATAAAAAGCCAATTATATACTTCACTGTCCATTTTCATCAGATCAGGAGTGTTTTGCTTGCTTGTCAGCCTCAATATATTGTCTACAAAAGTGACGGAAAAACGGGGGGTCGAGTGTGAGCCCCACCCCTAGATAAATATGGCAAGCTGTGGATGATTGAAAAAAAGCCTGTATTCATTGCTTTTTTACAACAAAACTTTAAAATTGCCAGACAACTCACCTCCACAAATTCTGTCAACATTCAACTCATTCCACTGTGTGTTGTTTTCTGGGAGGAAAATGAGATGCACACTAGTTTCACTGAGCCACAAACGTACCATGTCACCAATTTATACATTTTTCTTAATGATAGCTGTGGGTAATGAGCAGCATACATGTAGCTAAGGCAAGTTAAAGTGAGCATTGTAGTTTGAGAAAGATCAAAATCAAAGCTGGTAATTGTACTTCAAGACCATTCTGTTTTTGTCTGAGTCACTTATGTTTGATCATCCATTGCAAGGAATATCAGTTGTTTAAATGGGGCCCTGAAGCTACATACATGCAGTACAGTTCCCCCAAACCGAAGTGACTTCACTTTTACAGATACTAAGCATGCCTAGACAAGATGACTTAAAACCTGTGTTTTCAGTTTCCGTAGATAAACAAAAAGAGGAAACCAAGAAGCTGTCTGCATTTGATATGGCAGATGAGAATGTAAGAAGTTTGTATCACCCTATTTAGCATTGAAGTTTGCTATTAATTTAAGGCACAGAACATGTTAATTACTGGTACATGTATGCTTATTACATGTAGCACATGCAGATTTTACCGGCCAAACTTCCTATAGTTAACATTAGTTGACTGGCTTGCAGCTAATTTATTTACTAACATGTATGCACAAACTTATTTTTCTGAGCAGTATTTGAGGGGTGTCAGTCCAAAACGAGATACCCGGTACATACTTTTCAAAGATTTTTAGTAACGTGTCCACCATTATTAAAATAGGTACCAGATCTTTCTATGTTACATGTATTTTCACTGTTTTGATATTTTTGTGTTGCTAAATAAAACCCATAGAAGCTGGCTGGAGGAAACCATGACAACGTAAAATTCAGAGAAGGACTAAAATAGCACTTATCTCATTTTGGAAGTAAGTTTTCATTTATTTCTGGTTAGCATCGAATCTGAGCCTACATGTAGGAAGGTAATGATTGAGCTTCAGGGGATTGTCTGACATTGAGACTGACAGCACATGCATCTATCCAGCAGAAAGTAGAGAAGGATGATTATGCCAGCCCTTGTTAAGCAAGCAAGGACATGCAATAAAAAGCCAATTTTTGTCCGTTTTTAATAGACTGGCAATATTGTGCTTGATTGTCAGTTTTGCTGTGTCATCATTGAAAGTGGTGAAACCCTGATGAGTTTCATCCAAGGATAAATGAATAAGGAATGAGTGATTAAAAGAAGTTCTGCCTCAAAATATAAATTATCCGTCAACTCCCTCCACCAGCTAAATCCTGTCATATTTTGTCAAAGGAATTTTTTTATTTCATCCACGCTAAAGTGAACAGTCTGTTGACAGCTGTGAGGAAGACTAGTGTGTATTATGTAAATGACTTAAATTGGGTAATTTGAATGGGCAGTGTACTTTGAGAAAGATAAGTCCGAACTGTCCAGTAATTGTAAGTCTATTAATCATTCGAGATTACACTGAGTCGACGCTGTCTTTACTTATAATTTTGTACTTCATTGTCAATCATTCTTGATTGTCATTACAAGGTGTCGTCGTTTAAAAGGGACTTGGCAATGTGACAAACTACTCAGTGTGCCTGAGGGAGCCCACTGGCCAACAGCAAATGGCTCAAGCAGACAATACCACATTTTTTAGTCCACCTCCTGGCTTTAACAACAGCGAAGTTCGCTTGGGGTTGAGTGTGCTCATTTTCAACCTTTACAACCGGCCCATAGTATTGGGGATCTATCTCCTGCTGGACATGTTGGCAGCTGTCGGACAGGGGCTAGCATGTGCTGTGTATCGGTCACAGTGTTCGGTTCTCAGCTGTCCAACCACGAAGATCATGTTTAATCAGAGCCTTGCCGGGCTGGTGGCCATCGTCCTTCATGCTCTGAACTTCCTGGTGCCCACTCCATTGTGGCTCCCTCCAACCCTGGCCTCCCAGATCCTCTGCCAGGTCTGGCTCTCCCGCTACCCTCTGGATAGTGTGTACGCAGTCGTCATTTTCAGTCCGATCCTGTCCTCCCTCGAACGTTACCTGGCGACCCTGCATCCTGTCTGGCACAGAGCCCATTTCAATGACTGTCATGCCAAAATTGGGATTGCCTCAATCTGGATTTTCGGATGTCTTTGCATGATACCCGTATCTGTGCTAGCTACCAACCGCGACCCCGTCAGCGGCTTCTGCCAGACAAATGTCAATGTTGGGTCAATCGCCTTTTCTTTTTCTTTTCTACTTCTGCCAGTAACTGTGAATAGTTTCTTCTACTGGCGAATTTTGTGGAAACTCCGCACTATAAGCAAAAACAAAGGGGTGGTCCATGGAGCCCCTTACAGGCAGGCTAAAACCAATGTTACCACTACCATGTTCGTCATGTTCGTTACGTACACCGTGTTCTATATGCCCGTGTTTATATTGATTGCGACTTGGAAATCTGCTTGTTTTGATGACATAAACCCCAGTGAAAGAGTTCTGGTTGACGTAGTTCTTATTCTGCCGGTCCTCGCGGTCCTTTCCAACTTTGCTGTCTGCTGCTATAAGAACAAACGCTTTTCCTGTGCCCTGCAAAAATTGTTGAAATCTGCCATGAAGAGATGCAGACCTAAAATAGGTGCAAGTGATCAACCTTCGGCCAGATACTAGTGGCCCCAAAGCCCGCAAGTCTTCGTTTGTTCATTCAAAATTTATTTTAAGCATAGAAACCAATAGTGTAGACTTCACCACTGATGCATGCTTGTACGTCACTCTATTACATGAAACATTTGAAAATTCTTTGAACAGGAATTAATTGATTCTGATAAGCTTCTAGAGGAGGAAGATTTTTCCAAGCCCGATCCAAGCTCGCTCAAAGGTAGGGGTAATCAATCATTTTAGTATGTTGTTATGTTTAGCTGAAAGCTTTTTCAAGACCAACTTAATTGTTTTTATTCATTTGTTCATTTCTTCTAGATTTGGTTGTGAATTTCTGTCATATTTTGTCAAATATTAATATTGGTCACCTTTGAATAGCTTGGTTGCTTAGTTTTTTCATTTTCAGTTTTCCCTGTTCCCAAAGCATTGAAACTTACAAGGTTGGTTAATTTTCCTTGCACATACGTGTAATTGTCATTATCTTTGATGAAAAGTAAACATGTCAGTGTGCTTGAAATGTGTAAGTCCTCAGTTAAAGGGGAAATCAGGCCAAATTCACTCTTAAAAAGACACCTTCAGCTCTGTAGATTTGTTTATTAAACTAAGATTTTCCAGATGAGCTGCAAAAATTAGCTAATGTTGCAAGATGTAACAGGCAAAAGTCAGTTTCTGGAATGCCACTCCTCTGTACATGTAAATATCTTTTTTTTAGTTAAATGGATGCTAGGAATCTGCACGAACCTTAAAGTCTGGGAAATATTAACCTCACATCACCATTTTTGTTGTACATCTTTCTGAAAAGGTTTTCCAATCTGCTGGACCCTGTCAGATGCAATCGGTCATGCAAATTCAAGCTATATGTACAGAGTGAAACCAAATGGTTTTAACCATTTACTGACATGTATTTAAATGCAGATGTGTTTCCTGTGTGTTACGAAGCAAAAGAAACTTGAAAACTGGCTAGGCCAAAAAACATGGTTACATGTAGCTGGCAGTGAGCTTGATAGAGAGAGAATTGTTTCCCCATATCAATTTGGAAAACCTGTGGAAACCTTGTTTTGTTATCCAAGAGGTCCTTGCTTCATAACTTTTTTTGGTTCTTTACCAGCTGAGTGTGGTCCCAATTCTGAAAAGAAAAAGGCATGCAAGAACTGGTGAGTGTCTTGTCTTTCAGCTTTTATTGCTCTCGTAACATTATGGTGAAAAGAAATTTATTACAATTCTTGCAGAGTGAGTGACCTTTTTCTAATTACCAAAAGAAGCTTCCAAGAGGAAGTTTTAGGGTTTTTTCTAGGACTATGCCAATCATTTGAACATTCATATTTTTTCATTTGCAAAACTAATATTTGAATATTCATATTAGAAAAACAGGAATTTATAGGAGAAAACAAATGCAATTATTTGGTTACCAAATTGAATTGTAAAAACCTATTTTAAGATGTTACCAGTAGAAGTAAGGGCAGTTGAGTACACATGCCCAACTCTAGGCTTGAAATACCTTTCCCTTTAAGGTTTTTGATCACTTTTTGTGAAATTATCTATACTTTCTTTCTTCAGTTGTGCAATTTCAGTAGAATGGGAGTTGAACATTTCAATATTTAAGTCCATGCAGCCTGAAGGCTGATTCATACCTCAGGCAAATGTGAAAACGAAGGGACCTTTATGTGTTTTTTACATGCATTATATTTACCATCATCTTTTAGTCTTTCTTTCAACAAAGATCCTGCATGCCTTTGCCAATTTTATACTTCATTTGTGTCATTTACGTCATATTCCTTTGATGTCTGGCTACTGTTTGTAAAGCAGTGCCAAAGGGAATTTCTTTCAGAATGCTAAAGCAGTGAAGATGCTGATACAAAGAAAACGAAAGTCACCTAAATTTACAGAAGTGGCAAAATTTATGCAGCAGTACAGAAAGTTCAACTTTAATACTTGTTTGAAAAGTTTGTTATTAAGGGACTAAAGTGTGAAAGGGCAGTGGTAAACTTGTACATTTAAACAGGGACTAGGGATGATGATGCCTCTAGCTAGCTTAAAGTCAGAAGTTTAAAACCAACTCATTACACTTGTATTCCACTGTTGGGGGTATGTTTAGGTACAAACTAAGTCAAAGTTTAATACTTTTCTGGCAATGGGTGCATTCGATTAGCTTACACGTGTAAGTCAAACTTACACGAGAGCATTCGTTTTGCCATCACGTGATCTTCGTGCCTGCCCTGGTGTCAGCCACCACTACCCCAGCTGGTGAGCGGGTCTCTGGAGGCTGCCCGAGTGTAATGACGTCACGGATGGACTGCTCGAGCATGGACGTACATGATGGAACGTGGCAGGGACTTGACCTTTTTCCCAGAATGCCTTGGAAAGCACACTGCAGCGTTCGATAAGCCTCATTTGAGGCTTCCCTTGAGTGTAACACTGGTGTGTTCAGGGAAGCTAATCGAACGTACCCAATATTTGTCACCTATTCCACCTTGTATTTCGTCAACTACCTCCGTAGACCTGGCTGTTGCATGCTGTACAAAAAATCCCCTTACATGGAAACTGGTGCGCATGGCAAGTGCTGTGCAATGTGATACAGAACACGGCTGAGCCAGTGGTAAAATTGTGGCTCTCTGAAATGCAGACTCATCTGTTTATAGTGCATGCTTTTGTGGTGGGGATGCGAGCATGATTGTCATGCATGAGGGTTAATCATTAAAAGAAGACTCCAAACTTTGTTTAAAACAGGGAAAATGTTTCAAACCAGTTACTACACATGTACATTGTGCCTCGGAATGGGTAAACTGTCTGAGGTATGAATAAAAAATGGGTATAATTTTTTAATTTCATAAATTCTGTTTCTTTTGTTGATTAATTTGTTTTGTTTTTTTGCAGTACATGTGGATTTGCTGAAGAGCTGGAACAAGGGAAAACAAAGGTTACAAAGAAGACTGTCACTTCATCCTGTGGAAATGTAAGTCATAGGCCTACATAAAAATACCTGTACAAGGAAACTTTAGACGTCAAACATGCCTGGGCTGCTGTGTCTGTTACGTAATCTTGGCTGATTTAACAGATGTACAGATTCCACAAGTTTATATTAGTTCCTGGTACTGATCGAATCAATGGAATTCTGTTTCACAAGTCTGGGATTTATCATTTGTGTCTCAATTCTCTACACGTCGTTGAAGCTCATATCTATATTGTAATGTAGCACAAGAAATTTAATATCATACATAACATGTACTTTTTAAAGGGTCAGGTAAACAAAAAAACACTACTGACCCATGTTAGCATTAACAATGGGTGGGGTACCTTTGGAGGAAAAATTGCCTTGCATTATTGATCCATGGGTCGTGGAAAATAACTCAGGGGTGAGATTTCTCAGCTTTTTAGCTGATTTCAGCTTTGTTTGTTTTGAATTTCAGCTTTTTTTTTCTCACTGGCTTTGTACAAAAGTATAGGAGGTTTTCACAGTTCAGCTTCTTTGTTTCTTTTTCAGCTGTTTTCAGCTATTTTAATCATTTTTCAATATCATCCCTGATGAAGTTTCAGGTGCCCATTCATAGTTCTTAGGGTCATGTGGGAATTTCTACAACTAGCAAAGCTTTCCATTCAAGGTACATCTATTTGAATGAAATTTCACTTTGGAATCCTATTTTCCTAATCTTCCCGTCCACCTCCCCCCCCTCCTTTTTCACCCTGCAGTGCTATCTCGGTGATGCCTTCCGTTGTTCCAGCTGCCCCTATCTTGGCATGCCTGCCTTCAAACCAGGAGAGAAGATCACTCTTAGCAACCGACAGCTCAAACCCGACCTCTGATTACATGATTCATCAATCTCTTACTGGCTGATGAACTCCAACTGATGACATTTGACCCATGAACTCTATTCTTATTTACTGCTGCATGTGGCTTCAACCATTATGTGGGAAAGAGATGTAAACATTTGTTACGAAAAAAGGGATTTTCCCTTCTTTTTACTTTTGGTAATAATAATAATACTGTGCATTCTGTTATAACGAAATAACCATCATCGTTACCTGAATATTTTCACCAAAAGAGAGGAATCTATAGGAAAATTTGTTTTTCCCAATTTTTCCCAAAACTCCTCCAAACTTTCAGTGACTTATGGACTCAAATTTTGGAATAGTTTAAATATAATATTGGTCAGCTTCCAATGAAAAAGTTATCCCTTTCCAGATGATATTCTGTTTATTATTTACTGATGAGTTACTTGTATACCTAGTTTCAAATAGATCAGGCATGTGACAGGAGAGTTCTTATCCCACCCCACCCTAGCTGGTAAAAGTAGCTATACAAATCTTATATCTTATCTTGAGGAATTTGCAGAAGTCTTGTGGCAGTGTCATCACCCAAATACATCAGTGTATACATCATAAAAAGAACAAGTGATCACAGGAAAATCAAGAAACCAAAATTTGTCAAGTCCTGAATTATGAAACAAAAATCTTCATGCTGTCCAGGATGGGATTTGAACCTAGGTTGTAGAGATAATAATCAGAAAAGAAGACATCTTTGTGTTGTTTTGTTAAAAATGGCTCAAATGAAAACTGATGATAATCTGATATAACACACCCTGAAAACAACTTGCCGTCACTGAGCAGATTCATATGTTCCAAGTCTGTTGAATTTGGGGGGGGTTCTACATTTTCTTCAAGTTAAGGTAATTATCTGGTCCCATCCCCAGCAGCCTGGTTATAATTAGAATTGACTGTAGACACATTTGTAATTATTTAAGTGTAAGGTGAATGGGAAATTCAATTAAGGCACTTTTTGAAACAAATTTATGGCTGAAAGGAGTGTAAGAAATGGCTGTAAGTGGGAAGACGTTGGTTTCAGTGATTCAGCATTTACTGTTAAATTTCGCTCTTTGATCCAGGGCAGTTTGACTCAAAAATAATCTGTGATGTTTTGTGATGAAAACGTCATAGTTTAATTGTTTTATACCTAAGTACATATGGTAGAGTACAACTTAATATGGACTTTCCTCGCTGCCAAGATAAAATGGAGGGATATTTATAGTCCATATGTTCATCAGTGGTGTTGCAATGGCATATTTGTGTCCAGATTTAAGACAATGGGGTCCAAAGTGGTTCAGTATTACACAACCAGTTTCCGACCATGATGCCCAGTCTTGGTGTTGTATTATTTGTGGTAGTAATTATTTTAGTGTTCTGTGATTGATACTTGATAGGGGTTATGAAAAATTACATTTCTGCAAACATCCATGTTGAAAATAACGAGGTGTAATTAAAGAAATCAAATGACAGCTTAAAGAGTAATTTCATGGAGAGTTTACCGAGTCCCATAACTGTCTTTAAACCGAGCGTGATAGTCTGTAATCATGGATAATTTATGAACGATAGAAGGACCTGTGCAAGGTTACGTAGCCGATGAACCCCGTTCCCAAAATTTGGCATTATGTCAGTCAATCCGCTCCGAGTTGAAGTGCACCCTCCAGGCGGCAAAAGAAAGACAGGTCGTAGTAAATTTTCCAAGCAGGTTCTTGCACGCGTTCTGCGTGTACGCAGAGACCGTACATTAAGGAGTAAATACGTAGTATTCGGCGTACTCCGCGTCAAACGCACTTCGTTACAAACGCGCGCCTGTGCGCTGAGTACCAAAAAAAGCCCGCCCTCTTTTGTTCTGCTCGTAACAGATATAATGTCATTACTCTACTAGAATCATTCCAGCACATTACGGGCACGTATTTTAGTATACATGGAAATTGAAATGAGTTTCTCTTTCATTGATTTTGATTGCTGTATTTTTCTTTATTTTCCATCGACTGGTGAATGCAGGAAAATTTACCTCACATAACCTGCACAGCGACATCACCAGGATGTTTTGTTGATGGTCGTAATTAATTACACGTAGTCATTCCGAATTTTAAAAAGGTGTGCAATTTTGGGTCACGTTTTCATCTAAATTCAGACCATGTTTTCAATTTTCTTGGGAATCCTCATCTTTATAGACAATGTAAGGTGCAATTAATACCCCGTGTAAAATTTGGCTTTTTGTATACGAAAGTCCTGCCACTTTCATTCCTCCTTGTCCCATTCCATGATCCCAATGAAGAGTTGCAAACATTAGTACATGTATGAGAACAGTACATAAAAAACTGTTTAATCTTCATTGCATGATCCGTCGCTATTCAGTGTATATATATAATTTAGGGTAAAGAGCCGACCGCTATTCATTAACAAGCATCTCCATCCAATGATACAAGCCCTCGTCGGCGTGGCCCTGGCTGGCCGGCCCAGTGGCGTCAATTTTATGCAGGGGTTAACTTGGAAAGTAAACGGACAGAAGAGCTGTACAATGTTTGGCAGGAATATTGCAACGGCACGTACGTCTGTGAACGGTGAACTGACACGAATAACACAAAGATTTGACTAATGGATTTTTAACGATCAGAGAACAAGTTTTTCTAACAATAATATTCTACAAAACCTTAGTAATCACGGATAAAAAGAAAGCGTTCAAACAAACTGTACAGGCAAATTATGTGGTGCACTATTTACGACACACATTTTCTGCATCTCTCTATAGGTGACTCAACTACACGACGCGACGGGCACGACGGCTCCTGGCCTTCCATCGTGCCGTCACGTAGCGCCGTGGCCTTTTAGCCATTACGTTTGTGCGGCACATGCGTCGCTTTTTGCGTCGCCCATCGTGTCGCACCGTCCTGTGTCGCAACGTATATCGTGTCGTGCGCATAGGCCTAGATGTCAGATGAATAAACGCATACCATACGCGCGTTTAGCGTCGTTAAGCGTTCGTTCACATCCTTTCCATGTGTGCAAATCTTTCGATATTATTGTTTGAGCGTACAGGCTCAATGAAGGTAGCTAATAAGTTGAGCGGAATGACTTTCAACAGAGGATCAGTTAAAAAGTTGTTGCGTGTGAAATCTGTGCAGCACAGCACTATTTCCCATGTATGGCCAAGCCAGGCAAAGGCAGAAACTCTGACTGGAAGTCTCCAGCCTGCCACAAAGTGACTTGCTCGTAAGTACGAAGTTGGTGGGTATCATTTGTAGTATATTAGTGCTAAGAAAAAAAGTGGAGGTAGCGACATGAATGTCCGGATTTAAGAACTGAGGAGAAAACATTCAATAAACAGGCTAGTACTTTTGCAACACGAAAAATAAGCTGATACGTCCTAATTAATTGAGCATCATTGCCATATCATCACGAGCTGGGCTTCCACGCCTACATCATTACCCGTTCCTTATAGCTTGGTCTGTAGTTCTCCAAGCATTTTATTGGTCAGTGAAAGGTACCGTACAAAACGACATTCTGTTTTCGTTGTGTTGAATTTTGTTGTATCTCGAAAGACCAACAGGTAGTAGATACCAGAGAGATTTTTTAATGTCTCATTAATGGGACAAGCGGAACCGATAATGAAACCTTAAATTATTCATGACTAATTTGTTTACTTTGGTTATTTGCCATTAGTTTCCCCTGTTTATGTATTTTTATTGGGGGGGGGGTCTCAGAGTAGGGGATTCGACCACCCCCGGATCTGCGCCTGCCCCTCCTTTCCTCAACTTGACCAACGCCAGCTCTAAGGGTGCATTCCACCAAATGGTTGTATTTCTGCGCGCGAGCTAATTAACATTTTTATGATCATACAGGATTTTTACAATAAGCCAGGCCATAATCAGGAGGCATCATAGGAATATTTCTATCAATCCCGAATTTAGGACTGCGTGATAGTTTCCAGTTCAGACCTATTTTGGATAGAAGTGGCGGCTACATTCAGAAATGAGCGCTTAGTTTTACTGCTATTTTGGGGGTATCTTCGTTTAAAGACAAATAAAAATATATTTTCGTGGCTAACCCCCATGAAACTGAAACGAAAAGTGATCTTCTGTCCATAATCTTCAATTCCCAGTGAAAAAAAAGGGAGGCCAACCTCTTCACGAGAGTCAACAGGCGGCGCTATTTCGGTCCGATTTTGCACTGTTTTCTACGGGCGCGTATTTGGTTTAGTACAGTACGTTGCCTTTATATGTTGCTTTGAGCGCGCGTACGATATCGTGAATAACGTGCACAACGCAGAGAAAGAGGTTGTCCGCCGATTTGTTTCATTGCTCCCCAACACCTTTATGCATGCTCTCTACCGTAACTTCCGAGCAACCGGGTACCAACGATCAAAACACGCTGCCGCGTAAGTTAGACGTTTTGTTGAAAGGAGAGAGTGATTTCTCGTGTATTATGATCAAACTTATTCGCTGTTGTGTTCTTTGAGTGATTTTTGAGTGATGTAACTGGCGTTCAACAGAACATTATTCGAAAGTAAACTAGTAAACGGTACGTAACTAGCGTCGTTGTTGAGTCAAGATGAAGTTGGTGAGGTGAGTTAAGTCATAAATCATTTGTTCGTTCAGCTGAACCAGTTGCGTGAAAATCGTGGTATCTCCGCATTACATATACATTGTTACTTTTCCTTGTCAGATGACAGATTATTTTCCTTTAAATATTGTTGTTGGAATTGGGGATATTGACAAGAGTTTCTCATACAGACACGACTAATTTTCCTTGCACTTATTGCCAGGCATGTCAGAACGTAGGCCTAGGCCTGCATGTACATGTAGGCCCCTAGCCCCACACGTAGCCTCAGCCGTAGGGCTGTAGTGGCTCTCTTTTACGGATGTCGGACAACTCGACTGTTTGCCAAGTCGCCCATTAGGACAACTCAACTTTGACAGAGAGACAACTCGACCAGTCGTGCCAGTGAGATCTCTTCACACAGGCCTACATGTACATGTAATACAGTTGTTTTCCCAGTTCAAGATAGCGAAATTATTCAGTCAGATTGCAGCTGTACAAATATCCTTGAATTCTAGTGAAATGTGGTCGCCGTCCACCTTGTGTGATAGAGATACATGTACCACGGTTACCACCAAATTGTAAACTTTTAATTCGGACGTACGGGATCGACGAAAGTGGGGACACTTTTTCTCGTTCTGGATCTGGAGCGAGTGGCAAATCTATTTTCAGCCAGAACTATCATAAAAAGCTTATTTTCTGATGAAAAATTCCTCAATATAGAAAACTTGGTTCATAAATAAGAATTCCAATAAATTTTTAAATAATTGGATCTTGTGTAAATTTCGACTCAACTTTTTCAGCTGCACAGCGCGAGCCATCAACAATACTACTTCTACAGCCGACGAACCATTACGTCACGTGCATTTCTGCAATGTCCGTATAGCGAAATGAGTTCACCAAGTATATTGCTTGCATGCACTTGATGCATGATCCAAAACTGGGAAACAATATGCATTCAGTTTTTGGCCAGTTTTAATAAAACGCAACTTTGAAAGTCATTTTGATTAAACAAACATTAGATGCAAGAGTTTATATGACTATTGAGTATGAAAAGAAGTATTTGGGACCGCTCGCAGTCACGGTGAGTGACATATATCGCCCAAGACTATTTGCCATTTTTTCCCCCTACATGTACCGTTCCAAATTGTCAAAGTGCGAATCAGAATTCTGGCCAAAATTTTCGGAGAGCAAGTTTTGTTCAAGAAGAAGTTTACATTTCACTTTAAACCCAAACTTGTCTGGGAATGCAGAACTGAAGGATCACACCAAGTAGGTAGGTTTTTATTTCAAGCTACGACTGTAATGCATACCATACGGGCCATATACGTGCAGCGCGGGTGCAAGATCGGTTGATTGCGCAAAGAATGACTTACATGTACTACAGCCACCATTTTGATAAATTCCTCATAAATTAAGCTTGTCTATCTACTACATGTACATGAAATTCTATTCTTAAGGCATACATGTATGGCCTCAATAGACTGGGCTGAGCGGACAGTGTCCCAACGGACGACTTGGCAAGTTGGCAAAGGGGCAAGATGGTAAGGGGCGAGATTATCAGGGGACGAGTTGGCAAGGGGGCGAGTCAGTAAGGGGGAGGTGGTAAGGGTCGAATTGGCCAGGGGGCCAGTTGACTTGATTCTGTAGCCAGGCCCCCTAAATCTACGCAGTCTATTTCTACTCACCTTTCAGTTAACGTTTTGCAGACGCGCACTTTTGAAAAGCCAGTGGTCACTTGTATCGTTTGTCTGTGTTCAAAAGTTTTGCAAAACATCCCCAAAAATTGGAAATTAGGCCCAATCCTGTAGATACTTTATGAGTATTATGAAATAAACAACCTTTTTTCCGGTGAACTTTCTTAGACACATACATGTATACTAGAATTTGTGTTATGAGTCTCCCCCCCCCAAAAAAAATTCAGAAGTCTTCATGTCATCCAGCCATTCTACCTCTATTTTCTAGCAGGCCTTTGTACTTTTAACGCGTCATGTGATGTTCTTAAAATTTGTTGACTCAGTGAAGCATTTCAGGGGTGGGAGTACACGTAGGTCTCTTCGCTTAGGCCTACATTTGAAGTTTCAAAATGTTAATTTTGTGTTTATTGTGTCAAGTGAGTGAATATGTATAAAAATTACTGGTAAATCCATTTTTAGTGTTTGTTTCTCATTTTTCTTCCCAGGAGAGAGCTAGGTTACTTGGGTTGTCACTGGGTTGCCCATGTTCAATGAATAAGGGTAATCAGTTGTGGGATGGGATATGCACCAACCTGATTAACATGGAAAGGGCACAGACATAAACCCAAGGGTGTGGGTGGAGGTGTGGATGGGGATGGGAGTGTTCACTGTCTTGTGATGGCGGTTGCAGGCTGTACAAATAACAAAGAACATGGCAGTAAATGTTGGAATGGAATTACATCCACCAGTACTAGTCACAGGAAGGTGTTTTTCAGAGGACATTAAGACTATTTGTCTTCTCTTAAAAAATTCTTTGTTCATTACCATGATTACAGATTTATATGTAGAGAGGGATTTAGAGACAAGGTGGATGTGGATGATTAATATAGAGTCATGGGGTGCAGACGAGGGGACAGATCACTGGAGGATATTGGGTACCATCGTGTTTGGCTGGTGAAGAGTGTCAAAACAAGTCAATAAGCAAAGTGCATGTGTTGTTGATTACAGGTTCTTGATGAAACTGAGTCATGAGACGGTAACCATCGAATTGAAGAACGGCACACAGGTGCATGGCACAGTCACAGGTACATTTTTCCAGATAACCTGAATCCTACGTGTATGCATTAAACCATCCTCCGTCCTCCTAAATCTAGGTGGTTTGGGGATTTGGAGTATTCAGACTGAATGGCAAGAAAGTGTAGCTGATTAAGAAGAATATTTGGAAATTGGCTCGGAAAGATGCATCTTTAAGGTCCTTGGTTCTTCAGAGAGTCCACGAAGCAGTGTGCATAAAATTTGACAGGTTTGCCAACCTGAACGCATACATGTACATTCGCGGACTTCGCGACATGTATTAATTTTATTAATACCATTATTGAAGCTGTAGGCCCCTGTATGATGGAACCACAGGCATCAGAATACCGCCCTAATTCATGTATTCTGATAGAATTATCCCACTGATTAAGAAACTAGTTTTCAGAGGAGCCCTACATGTATAAAACAGACGTATTTATTGCAGTTTTAAGCACGGTGTTAATTTCAGTTAACAACACGTACACGTACATGTAGGCATTGCATAAGGGAGATGGGGGCTGCATTCCAAAGTTCTGCACTTCATTACCAGGGGCCAGTTTCATAGACCTACTTTTAAAAGCACAAAACTTGCTGAAGCACGAAAAACTCTTGCTCAATAAACAAAAGTTACCAGCTCAAACTCTATGTGATTGTCATGCTAACCCAAAAGACAGGTAAATACCATTCCAAAACAATGTACATGTACATTACAAGAAGTTTTGGCTGGTAACCTGATTTGTCAAGCAAGGTTTTTTCACACTTAACAAATTTTTCGCTTAAGCAGCTGTATGAAATTGGCCCCAGTTTTGCATTGTCATTTCAGACACTTGAATCAGTTTCAGGCTTACTGCTTTGAAGCATGTACCTATACCTCAGTTTGCTTCACAATGGACAATTTGATGTCCTTGTTAAGGAATATTGAGCTGCACCCTACTCTCAACTGTGGGTACATGTACACACATATACATACATACATACATACATGTACATGTACACATGTGTACACTGTACATGTGCTGAACTTTATAACACTACAGTTTGCAGCCCAAGTTAGATGTGTAGCCAAGCTGTTGGAAAAACTATAGTGATGCAACTGACAAAACTGATTCTTTGAAGTCCACACGCGATTCACCAATTTTAAATGTACGTGTAGTCAAGAAGGCAACCGAACATTGGTTGCATATATGTACTTTCTGAATTGTTCAAATGAGCTTCTTCAACAAGTGAGCCTTTGATTGAAGTTCTATCTGATCTTATAAAAATGTGTAGGGGTTGACGTCAGCATGAATACACACCTGAAGTCGGTGAAGATGACAATCAAGAACAGGGACCCGGTCCAGCTGGACACGCTCAGCATACGGGGCAACAACATCAGGTATTTCATCCTCCCAGAGAGCCTGCCACTGGACACACTACTCATTGACAACACGCCCAAGGCCAAAGCTAAGAAGAAGGAAGCAGGTCAGTCAGTGGGGAATGTGGATTTGTGCATTCTGGTATGGTGGCCCCAAAGGGACATCATACATGGCAAATATCTTTGCAAATAGTTGTAATGTTGCAATTTTATTGCAGATATCTGTGGAAATATTTTTGCAAGTGTTAGCAACTTTGTCACATACCGTGTTGCATAAAGAGGATATTTGTACCCAATTATTGCTCAAGACACCAGGGAGTCTTCAGTGCGTTGATTTCAAGCCTTTTTTTCATGAAGATCTTTATATGAAAGAGGTTGGATGGAGTTTGCAATTATTACATAATGTATATTTACATGCCAATGTAGTGCACTGACTATGTACTGGCATTTTGGGCATTTTTGTACAACTGACATGTTAAGCTTAATTGCCAACAACTTTACACACTCTGTGGTTTCTCCCAAAAAACATGGCAAAATATGCAAATAGTATAGCGAACTGTGTGACAAAATTTCCAACACTGCAAATATTTGCAAAGATACATATACTTGCTGTAGACTTTTCAACATGCAGTACATGTACATGTAATTGCCAAAGTAGTTACAATGGTTTGCAATATATCGCAAATATTTTCTCCTATACAGTGGAACGTCACTATACATGTACATGTACCAAACACCGCCTTACCGAACATTCGGTTGTACTGAACATCGTCCTTGGCTCCCAATATTTTGTGCATAAAACCTACCGAATATTATGCAGTTGCAAATCAACCGAGATTTGCTACCGCATGCATCAGAGATCGATCCTGAGCAGCAGCTTCACAACTTTTAGGATAAACTATATATCAATTTTGTGACTCAAAATTTAATAAAAAACATAAATAATTAACAGATATATTTCTAGAAACCTCAAACGTGAATTCAGGAAATCATAGTATCACAAGAGGGTGCACTTCAGGTAGATAAGAGAGGGCGCTATTCAACATGGCAACAAAACGTTCAGCTGTTAATTTCGCTATACCCAACGACCGTTGAACCGAACATTATCGTGGACCCTGTCGTGTTCATTATAGCGGCGTTCCACTGTATTTGTGAAGCTACTGTACCTGGGATGTGTGATGTTCCTTCAAGGCAACTGTACTTCCAGTACCAAAGATTGTCTGGCCACTCTTAGTCTCAAATTGTATTTCTGTTAAGACAGAAGCCTTCCTCCAATCCTCTAAGTTTCTCCTTTCTTCAGGAAACTCAGGGTGCAGTCTTAGTAGAGTCAACACTTTATACAAGATTACCGAGTCTTGCCAAGCTACTTTGTTATACATGCATTAACCAGAACCCTGTTTTGAAAGGACATGGGGGAAAAAAACAAAGAGCAAAAGAGTTTCAGATTTCTGATTTTTTTATAACAGTCTTTTGCTGAAAAATGCCCTCTCTGTAGAGAGTGGATGGTAATTAACTTGTAGGCATATCAAGCCCTATATCAAGTTATAGCAGGCAGGGCTTTACATCTGTGAACAACCTTTAAATGTGGGCAGGCAGTGAAAGTAAAACAGTCCTTTGTATGAAGTTTAAAAGATGCCAACATGTACAACATGCATATACATGTAAATAAGGCATTCCTGTCTCCTCTCTGTATTAGGAAGATATTTTTTCCTGTGGTGACAAATTCTTATTTGGTTGTTTTTCACATTTTCTTTCAGCTGTTGGAAGAGGCAGAGGGCGTGGCAGAGGTGGGCGTGGTCGTGCAAGAGGGCGTGGCCGTGGGAGGAGATGAGCTTGACTGTTTTATTCTTTTTTTTTTACTTTAACACGTTGTTATTAGCACATGTAGACAGCGAGTCACAGAGTTATGACAAGTTTAGAGAGGTTTTGCTTCCCTGCTCATTGGTTCTTGTGTTGATTGTGGCCTGCTTTGCAAAAACCTATCATTTTCTGTGCAGTGGCCTGCCCAAAGTTGAGAGGGTAAAATTTCCTGTGGAATTTCATTTGTGTTTAGAAATGGCGTCTTTGTTACCAAGGTTGCATGTTTTATGAAGACAAACGTCTGAGAGAACATCTTCAACAGATGGAATATTCCATTCTAAACAGCTTCAACTCGCAGAATGGAGTATTTTGGAGTACCATTGCCACACACTTCACTTTTACTCTTTTTGTTCTACAATCTGGATTATTTTTCATGTTGGTCAAGTCAGAGTTTTCATGGTGTTTGTTTTGTGAGTGCCTTCAGGCAATCCAGTACCTCTACTGTGTCATGTGGCAATGGTTACTCTGTTGCCGATCTAAAACATAAGTCCCTTTGTGGAAGATATAAGTTTTTAGCCAAAATTTCTGATTTGTGAGTACTGCCCGGCAATCAAGTACTTGATGATACGACATTGGTTTCTCTGTTTCTCATCTACAACATTAACCAGTTTGTTGAAGAACTGTATTTCATTCCACAGTTCTTGTTGTTTTGTGAGGCAATTAAAGACTTGCGTTACACGACTGTGATTTTGGTGTCTCTGTTGGTTATCTAAAATACAAGCCAGTTTGTGGCAAAACTTAATTTTACTCCAAAATACCTCTTGTTTTATGTATTCGTTGTGTTATTCACTTGGAGGAAACAAATTCTTTACAATCATAAAAATACACTTCATGTTGTTTTTGTCGTATGAATCTACATAATTTTTTTTAACGAGTAAGTTTTACGAAGTCCATACTCTAATGGTTGCACACTTCAGAAATTATGACATACATGTACCTGTATTAGCAAACTACCGGGGTAGATCTGATCTCCAGTATCATGTCTTTGAGGAAACAAATTCATCATTTACAATCATAAAATATAATTCATAGTGTTCTAATCGTACATGTATGAGTCTGCCTAATTTTTGAACAATAAAGTTTTCCAAATTTGATACTCTAATAGTTACACACACTTCAGAAATTCTGACACAAGTAAAACCTGATGTAATTTCTAGTATCAATTACATCGTTGAGTAAATTAATTAATTACATTTGTAAAATATATTCATGGTGTTTTCATTGTATCAGTCAACCTTTTCAACAACTACAAGTTAATATTGTAATGGTTGCACACATACTTTAGAAATTCTAACATAAGCAAAACCTGTCCTGTGTGAAAATGTCAGTGAAGAACGTTAGGTTTTGCTCTTAAAAGTTTAATTACCTCCCAGTAATGCCAACTGTGGATTGGGAACAACAGAATTACACCCCATAGATTTTGTGTTTCAACAAGTAATCCACAGTTCGCATTAACTGTCCGACTAGAGCAACGATTCACCGAAAAGGTGTCTGTCTTGCTCAGGTGGCCATCATAAATTGAGAACGTTTTCTAATTTGTTATCAGTATTTGAGCATCCTTCAATAAGACTAACCATTCAGCTGGAGCTCATCACCAAAGTGTGCCGTTACATTTTCATACACCTATGATACACCCGGCACGTGGTGTTGTCCTGATGTTAACTTGACATCTAAGAAAAGAAAAACGAAACCTGACTTCGCAAGACGCATAATACCTAGGGGGTACTATGTTGCTTAGGAACAAAAATTGTGAACAATAGTATTGATAGATCAGGATAGGGTTGAAATTGAGCAAGATAGCTCCATCCCCGCTCGTCAATTTGAATTTTTTTGTTCAACTAATTCCTTTATTCAACCTGATATTGGATATACATGTACATGTAACAACACCACGTGACGGCTGACAAGAATGTTCTGTTGGTGCTTTCATTCACACCAGGCATCATAGAATATCTCAAGGCTGTATCAGAGTCCTAGAAATTCAATTGAATCATCGAGAGATGAGAAAATGAAGGCAGGGAAATTTTGATAATTTGGCCACAAGTAGTACTAATTTCTCTTTATCCATGTCTGATCTGGCTTTGCCCGAAATACATGTATTTGGCGATATGGCTGCGAGTGTAACACAAGTCAGGGGGAAGTGGATGTTGCCGCTTGCATGTGTTGTGAAGCCGGTCATTGGCTTGTACATGTATTTCAGACAGTTTCATATGAATTATATGATTGAATTTGGTACTGTCTTTACGCCTTTGCGTCTTCACCAATGCGAGAGGTAAATTCCAGTATCTAAACTTGTCATTTCTTTGCGTTTCTAAAAGATCATTGTGTGTTAGTGAAATAAACAGTTTTTGGTAACAGTTCCCAAAATGATCAAGCGATTGTGCACTTATTTCACTCAGGTGTGTAGACCTCGTGTGGTCACAGTTAGGCCTTCTCTGTAGAAGCAGTTGGAGGCACTTCACTTGGTGTTCCTATTTTCTCCACTGTTCCCAGACCGCCGTTCAAGACGATTAGATCGTCTGAAATAATCAAAAATGATTAATGGCAGTCGTGAAATGAGCAATGCTGTTTTAGTCAGAGACCACAGAATACAGCGGGTGAAATATCTGAACATGTATTACCAACCCCTGCTCTTAAAAGCGGCGGGAAAATTAACGAGTTGATATTTGAGTCAGTTATTTACAGGTGCAGGTTGCATGCGCATGAACCCCAAAAATATTCAATTGAATAAAGCCGTAATACATTGATACAGAATTGTGACTCGGTGGATGACAATTGATACCTCGAAAAATACTGTTGATGAAACCAACTAACCGCCTGATAAAAATTTAGACATATATTTTTTAGCACTGATTGGCCACAGTGACGAAGAAATAGAGAAAGCAGTGCCAGCAACCCTCCCCCCCCCCATATTAATGACGCATTCCCTGGTATTCTGTCCCAGGTTTGGGCGGTATCAGTCTTGTGCATACCTGACTTGAAGACTCTTGTCGCTCGCTGCACGTTCACCACACACGGTATGCCGTATTCACGAGCCACAACAGCGCCTGCCCGAGAAATGTCCGAAAGTGCTTATTAGTGCTAAAACATTAAAAACCCAAACCAATGCAAACCATCGACTCGTGGTTAGGTCAGAAGAACCAAACAGACAAGGCAAAAGAAAAAGAACTCCAAATTAAGTTTGTTGTGAGAACCAAAAGTATGGGATTTTGAATCCCGGTTGATTGGCCGCGACATCAACACGGTCATGTAAAGGCAATATTTAGTAGCACGCCTAATCTCCAGATGCTTTACATGTACCAGAGGTTTCCTTGCTCATTGCAGACTTCAATATTCGTCCCATCTGAACCTTTTTTTATTATTCTAAGTTTGCGTTTATCAGTATCCCGACGTCGCTAAAATCTGTATCCCACTCCAATCTGCAGTCTTCACCCCACCCTCGTACGCTTGTACATTGCATTTGTAAAAGCGTTCATGCGATATGCACGTGTATACATTCACTGGCAAAATTTGCTACTTTCCATGAAATGAGAAACCTCATCAGAAGAAGGCCTCATTGTCCTCACGGCAATAGAGGGACCCCAACACGACGTTTTTAGCGTCGATCTGCGTGCTTTCGCGTTTGAAAACGAGGCTGTTTGTGTCAGCTTCAATTCTTAATACGTAAAGGTTTGTTAAATTCAGAGATTTCAGTTTGTTGAAGAGTCTTTCAGAATGACTCAACACGTGAAATCAAAAGAAAAACAATTGCAATTAACCGCGAACTAACGTACCTGCGATGGCCGTGTATCTTGTGCAGTGGGCGTGGTTTAAACTAAAGTGGTATCACACTTACGAACCGGATACTGCGTGTACTGTGTCGACTCCGCGGGCGAGCGCGACGAAGTTCAACACAGAGACCCTCGGTTTAGATGCGGATATGCGCAGACGGCGGTAATGTGAAATCCAACTATAGTTCCATTCTTTTTGCAAACTCAAGGCGGAGTCAACCCCCCTTCTGGTTTCAGCCAGCCCACGGTTTCCAATGTCGATGTATTTTCTCGCTAGGTCTCGGCATTTCTCGATACGTACCATGAGAGAGGACGCCCCCTATCTCGGTGACCAGTCCACTGATGAGCGGGAAGTATGGACTCCAACCGATATCCGTGATACGGGTGATCAAAATGTCACCTTTCTGTATAAAAATCGAAAACAAAAGTCAAAATAACAAAATGCAAAGTTAAATTTGAGTTATTTTGTGCCTCACACTGGATGATAAGAGGGAAGGCCCAATCCGATTAACTGTCACATATCCAGATGTAACTCCTGTGGGCTTCCTGAAACGCGCCAATCCACCTTAAGCAGAAGCGCCCCTCATGGGTTGAAAAGAGAAATGTTAAGGGGTGTTCGTTTTGTGGGTAGCGTTGAGACTGCAGAGCTTGCGTTTCATGGTCATTCGTGAACCAGCAATGTGCAATTACGGCCAACTGTTGCCAGGAAAATTGCGCCTCTTGTGGTCCAGCTCAGGGCCCATCTCGTACTACTCGCAAGCATGAAGTGATGAGAACTGACTTCGCTCTGTGGATCACAGGGGTTGGCAACAGCGAGAGGTTCTCGAAGAAAATTCCCTGAAATATGCAAAGTGTTACAGTACATTATGCTTGCCCCCAGTCAACCGGACGGTCCTGTCTAAGTCCACGACCTGTTTCAGCAGGAGGTATTATACCTTGATGTTGTTGGCATCTTTAAGATACGTGACCACCCTGGCTGTGCTCTTCACAGTCCCCTGACTGATGGGAGTTCCTGCAACAAAAGACAATTCTAGTAATTACACTGGGATTTTAATCACTCCTTAAGTATACTTATAAACATTATAATGACCTCCTTCATGTTTTGTATCATTGAAAAAAAAACGACAAAGGGTGTCTTTGTTCACTGTTTAAAAGATGATTTCTTGAAACTAAAAAAAAAAAGAAACATTTTTTCAAATGTGTTTCGTTGAAAGGATAAAGTGTATCTTTGTAAAGTTAATCGATGCCTTATTTTGCGGCAATAAACAAAAGTCACTTAGGGAATTCTAGAATGTAGTCATATTCCCCCATCAGTAAATTCCACTCACCTTCCAGTTTAAATTCGGTCGCAACGTCTTCTTCCTCTAAAATCTACCAAAATCAAAGAATTAATGCGTTCAAATGCCAACATTTTCAGTTACCCCCTCTTTATAATAAGCAAAAATACAATAGAAACACATAATCGATTGGGAACAAAATCAAAAAATCTGAAATTTAATATGAACGGGAAGACGTCACTGATGAGTAAAACATTCCAACAAACGAATTTTCGCGACAGTACCCGGTAGCTGTGGCGCGTGGTTGTATAGGATAGATAGGGTAGTTTGTTTGTTGGGTTGTTGGTTTGTTTGTTTGCTTGTTTGATGGGGTTGGAACTTTCAGTTCCTTCGGCAAGTACATGTGGAATCGCAGCGTTGCATGAGATTGACGATTTAGACTCTGTCCAAAACCTCTGCAACGCTGTGAATAGAGGTTTAAAAAGAGAAAGGAAATACTCACTTGAATACATGTATTTTCCCGCCCATGGAGTACCAATTTTCTTAGACATACCATTTAAGTTAACAGATTATCACTTTTTAAAATGACGGAAACAGTTCAGTCTGTGATGGGTTTACTTCAATCATATTCCAGTTTTGTTTCCTTGTCTCCAAATTAAAATACACCTTTAGGGATTTAACCAAAGTTGCTTTAATAACGCGTGTTGCAAAAAACTTCGGACAAAAATATGAATGGGTCGTAAATTCCAAGGATTCAGAGAGGGGATGTTGACCAGATTGCACTCCAGTTTATTGGATGATTTAACTGTTTCATGCAGAATCTCGTAAAACGTCGACAAATTAACAATAGAGTGTGTATGTGGCATAGATGCTCCTGGCAGAGAGACTAGCCAAATTATTCAGTTCAAAGAAGAAGACCACTGTGAATAGATGCCCATGTGCATCAAAGTGGGGCTACCCCCCACGGTCCTCCAGATGTTGCGGCTGCAGCAGAAGGTACCGTACCAGTAGGGAAAATATCGACGCGATTGTGTCGGCAACATCGACGGCAAAACATCTTTTTCAGTTCCATCTGGAAACGCTTGTACTTGATAAGGTAGATGAGCGGGTTGATACACATATTCAGCAGGACCAGCACGGTGAAGATGTAATGCACGGAGCTATTGAAGTCATACTCGTGGCCCATGTTGTACATGAGATAGGAGAACTCAGTTGGCGTCCAGCACACAGTGTATGAGATGGACACGAAGCAGAGGGTGAGGGTCACATTGCGTTTGGTCCGTTGGAAGAGGTTGTTGGCGTTGGTTCGTCTGCTCCTGGAGCGCAGTGTGATGATGATGCTGATGTAGCTGAACGTCATGATGCTGAGGGGGACGAGGTACTCGCAGCAGAAGAACGCAGTGCCGCCGATGGCTTGCACGGTCAGACTGGGCCAGACCGCGTAGCACTCCCCGTGCGTCACCCTGTGCAGTATCGCCCAGTAAGACTGGTACAGGAGGCCAATTAGCCAGACCAGGCCGCGACCGATGTTGGCCCGCCGGACGGTGAACAGGGATCGGTGCCTCACAGCGTGACAGATGGCGAAGTACCGCTCCAGCGTAAGTAAGAGGAGGTTTACCGTAGAGGCAATGAAAAGTGACCACATGATGTACTCGGAGAACCACAGGCGACATGCTAGCTCGCCCCAGACGCCGTCCCTCTGAATGCTCGGGAACTGCGGACCGAATCGCAGGATGAGAAACAGTACCGAGTCAACCAGGTCTATCATGGATTGGTTCAAGATGAGGAGGTTCGTGGCGGAGCCGAAGGCGCGGCGTCTGATCGTGAAGATCAAGCAGACCAGACCGTTACCTACCATTCCCACGCCGCCTATGAAAGCGTAGATTGCGAGTAGGACTCCGTGGCTGGAACTCGAAACAACCGCTGGTGCAGCGGTTGAACCGTCCGGAGATGCTTGCTCCATAGCGGCAAATCTCCCCCAAGATTGACAAACCGGTAATAGGTATCAATTAATCCCTCTTTAAATGAGAAGGGCAGTGCAATTCTAGTATGTCTGATCTGCTTCTTGTGATGTGCTTAGCCGCTTCTCCCTCTTGCAAAAGTTTGGTAACCTTTTGGTAAGAGTCACAGAAAGGCTTGACGAGAGTTCACAATGTTGTCAGTTTAAATTCTACAATTAAAATTTTGTTCGAAACTCACTAGACAGCTACTACAAACGCAACGGTACGTTGAACTCTTACAGACTAACAAACTGGGCCCAGATAAACCGGTTTCCGATCAGTTCACACCATTTAGTGAAGCGAGTTCGTCAATGTAGATGTGAAGCTTGTGCTCGTTTTCACGTAGGGCCTACTGTGGCAAACACAGCACGTCAGTCAATTTTCCAGAACTTCACAGTAACAGAAGTTAATTTGGAATTATACGCAGCCGATGTATGGCTAGCTAGTCGCAGATCGAGCCTTTTTTATCATTGGGAAATAGTTCTCTCTGCCCCAGAATTCCTGGTTCTCCTGACAGCTTTTGGACGATCTGAGTCAGTCACGTTTTCCTTGGGTCCAAGTAGTGCAGCGTGTCACCATCGGCACAAGACATCAATATTAATTCTCATCGGTAAACTGGAGACTTCGGATGTGAAGGGAGCTAGTTATACTCGCCTTATGTATAAACTCTCCTCGGTGTGTCCTGCAAGAATATACTGCTGATTCTATCAGCTCGTTTTCATTTGCTGATGGGTATCAGGCCACGCAGAGTTTTCGCAGAGCTTTTAATATTTTCTCTTTGGAAATGTCTCTTGATAACTTATAGTTATCTACTGTAGAGAGAACTAATCTATCTCCAGCAGGAGTCCGGCAGCGGGATAGCCCTCTGTTCAATTCTGTCCTCGTCTTGCAAATCGCAGAGTGATTATTTTAATTAATTTCCCGCAAGGTTGGCCAGGCGAAGCAGCTGGAGGATTAGTGTTGAAGTGGTAGTTATGGAAATTGTATTCAGTTCCGCCAGATTGACTTGGCAGCATGGTATAGGCGTTCGATTTTCAGCCTTGACTTGCAGCGTCTACTCAGAGAAAAACTCCTCAATAGTTGCACCGGTCATTGAACCCTTAGATGAGAGAAAGTAGATGAAAGTAACTAAAAATGCCAGACTCCACAAAGCTCTTGCATGTCCGAGGAGGGCGCTGTGGTGATGGTTTGTCACAGCCAAAAACAAACACAAACACTGTTCTAGGTCATTTAATCCACAAAATTCGCACAATACAAACTTGAGCTTGTTAACGGTATTTCAGATTTCCCATCTCTGTGTGCTGGAGCCTCAGACGCAAAACTTTTAATATACATGTATATTACGTGGCCATGAATCACGTTTACGTCAGCACGGGTGCAAGAACCTGGGAAATTGCGACATGTGATTAATAAACCAGTGAGGAAATTTTATGTCAGAACATCAAGTACCCATACTTCAGGGAATTAGTATAGTTGGGATATCTACAAACTTTGAATTTCCAGGAAATTGAAAATGCATCATGAATAATTTCTGGCTCAAAAAACTAGAGTCATCATAAATTTGCCGCCAGAAGTGGAACGTGTGGCGTGTGTCGAGCGACGACCATTAGTCAAGCACTGTTTGGTTTTGCCTGGTACCCGGAACATATATGTGCACAAGTAACTAGGGAAAATCGGCCAGTGGTAAACAAAATGGCCGCCCATTGTTTGGATCACCACTGAGTGGTGACGAAATGTATGAAATTTTGACACGGAAAACTGTTTGGGGATCGTAAAAATATTTCAAAATCTTTCATAAAGAAAACATATTTTTTTCTCTTCGATACTTACCGGCTCCGGTCGACCAGAAAACACCAGCTTAAACCTGAGTCCATTCATCTCCGGAAGCAAACGGCGTCTACGAAGTGCCCTTTGAACCCAGACAATTTAAATAACAAGGAACGTTTAAAAAATGCCTACAAAAATTAATGAAATTAATTTAGAAACAGTTGAAAACACTATTACCCCTATTTACGAGAAACATCGTTGAGGCATCTAAAGCGGGTTAGAGGTGTCACACACCCCCCCCATTAATCCGTGTCGTGGGCAAGATTGGGGTACGTTTGGCAAAAATGGAGAAGAAAGGAAAAGGAAGGGGGAGGTCCTGATCGGGAGATTCATACTGCTGCACTCATGAAATTTGCCGACGGTCCGTCAGTAAATTGATGATGGCAACCCCTCCCTTTAAAATGATCTAGCGACGCCAGTGAACAAAAGTCATTATAACGCCAGCCAGCAATTCAGAACTCTTTGCAGATATTCAACACATCCTGAAAAAACAAACTAGTCCCCTCGTGTTAAATAACTTGTTCCCGTGATTGGCAGATGAAATACACGCCATGTAGTGCTACGGGGGTCGTCTAGCCAATGTTTCATCAACAATTGTCATTTTCCAATCCTTTTAATCATGTACTAAGGGGCCTAGAGTTGAACAAATAGCACGAGCATCAGAAGGTGTAATGATATGAAAATCTTGTTATACCTTGCTACCAGGGCTGGTGAACGGTCTCGAAGGAACCGACCGATCTCATTGGGAGTGAAGAAAAACAGCAAGTCCTCGTCTGGAAGGCGGCCCTGTGTTAGAGTCCAAACAATAACACCCCAAAAGCTTAAATTTCTGCCTTAGACGATATCCACCACTACAAACTTTCCTAAAAAGCAGGGTCAGTTTCATGTGCTAATTGTTGCCTTTGGAAAACATGTATGAGCGTCAACACCTATACGTTTCTATATACCTTTAGGATCGGTATAGTAAAGTGCCGGGCGAGTTTGAAAAGAAAGCAATTTTCACTTTTATCACATTTGAAAACCTTCCAATTCTGACGTTCACTGTGACCCAAGAGGAATTCAATTTTCCTTCAAGGGCCGCTTTATTGCCAAATTTTGATGATACAAAAAGGCATAAGGCCATACCTCTTTAACCATCAGGTTTGCAAGTCTCCAGTATGCTTCTTTGAGACGATGGTTGATCATGATAAACTTGGACTGTAAAAGTAGACATCATGTCATGCAGAATGGTCAGTCGTTGAAAATATAATTCAATAAAAAACTTTGGGGGGGGGGCTGATGCCTTTTCAAAAACTCTAATATTTTCAACACTCTAATAAAGAAGATAACTCACAATGAAAGAAAAAAAAACCCTTCTTGATCATATGCAAAGCAGTGGCTCCGTGGCAAAAGAGTCCAGCTAAGGCTGGTAAGTTTTCGCATAAAATGCCTCTTTTAGATGGCAATACTGCCTCTTGAAGCCAAACTGATAGTCCAGTTTGATGTATTTTTTTTAGGGTTCGGCATTTTGTTGACAGTCGGGGCTGCATATACTAGGGAGAAAATGAACAAACCCCTGAAATAAATGGTACTCAGCAAGAGGGACATCGTAGTACGCCCATCATGCCAGCGTGTATGTTTGAATAGAATCTCTGGCAACTCAACAAAGACAGCCGGCCAAGTTGAACCCCGACCCAAGTATCCCAGGTGTCTGCGTCGATGTTTGCATTAGTTACGATAACGTGTTTCTATTTCATTGTTTATCGTCCGGGACTGATCAGCGATGCTCTCTGTGTCTCTTTACGTCGATATAGAAACCATGCTCAACTGTATGTAAAGAGGTCTTTCAAAGGCGCAAAATTCATGATCTTCCTGACTACAGACTCGACTATGGTGCCTTGAATATTCATCAGCTCTATAGCTCCACGCAATGTAGAACCGAGTACGTATGTACTCGGTTTCGAACACTGTGCCCACCCAGGGAGCTCTTACTCACACGTTTTTACATTTTAGCAATTTTTAAATAACGCTAATGTATTGCCTTTCCAGATTCTCGAGCAGCCACACCCTCCCTGGCTTTTGGCACGAGGTACGTAACAAGAATTTTCCTGAAAAAGAACAGGACAAACTAATTTAATGTAATATACAGATGGCAACTAAAGCCTCTAGTAGTCTTTTAGGCCTAAAAACTATATATTATGCCTAAAAGACTACAGGTAATTTTGAGTTACTTATGGGTAAGTAATATCCATAATGACTACATGCATATTGAAAAAGTGAAACTGTAATTATGTTTCATTTTATAAACGCTGAGTGAATCTGTTCACCGAAAATCTGTGGTAAAAAAAGCTTAGTGTTGGGTATGACTCCCTCAAGATAGACAAGATTTCGTGACAGAGCTCTCTTCTTCGGTCTCGCTGAAAATGAAATGTCAGGTAATGTCAACCGATCCGATGGACATCTGTTACCTGAGGAGCGCTGGAATCGCTAATCCCAGCTGGTTCACTGCTTCAGCCGCACTCAATACCGTTTTCTTTTCGGACGCTTTGTGGGAACCTGACGCAAGAATCGCCTGTAGGGAAGAGTCGAATAATAACATGCTTTGACACTTGCGACTTTTAAATACATTTTAAACATTCATCAAATTTAGTCATAACCTTGTGGGCAGCATACACTACTCGAGTTTCAAGACAAGATCCTAAACTGGCTTTAGCATTTTCCCTGGAAAACATGCACCCAGTTATAATTATATTTCTTGTTAAATTATAAACAAGAACAATTTGGGGTTTTGGCCATAAACTCGTTCAGACGACACAATTTAGATAAAGATATCCAACTCAAATATTTACAGAACATGTAATTAAAACCTGCTTTTCTCTGTACAGTGAAACAACCATCCTGTAGTTAGTCAACGACATGCGCACACACGCAGGGTGAAACCGCTGCTAAATGGGTTATTTTGTGGATGTACCGTGGCCTCACTTTATGCCACTATCACTCTACATGTAGAACAGCCGCAGTCGCTGGAAAACGTCCCCTCCATCCCCTCCACTGAATCCAACAAATAAAGCCTAGTGGTTATGGGTTTAGCCTGAATGATCAAGCTGTCGTATAACAAGTCACAGAATCATCGAGAAATACACACTTGCAATGACGGTATCACTTGAAGGGGCTCCATGCTCCAGGATTTGTCTCGTAATTCCACCTCAAGAGAAAACAAACCAGTAAAAAGCAAGTTATAAGAAATATAAGAAGAAAGAGTCTCGCTGTTTCTCTATTAAATGTGTAAACGTTGACGTAACTCCAGCAATCGGATATTGAAACTTTTGTGGTGAAAAATTTCGTGGTGCACGGAAAGAAACGTTTTACCTCTCTCACGCATCTGTGACCGTGACGCCGGAGAAAGTCAGAGAAGGCTGTCCCAGCCTCGCCGCTGGAGGGCGACTGTAGCCATTGCAGAGCTTCAAGGGGAGCCATTGTCTGAAAAGAGCTGTTCTTCCCTTCTCTCAGAATGGCCTTAGCGACTGTCTATTAACATAACCCATTCCAAAAAGTAAAGGTCTCTACTCTACGTTGATTTTTATCTTATTGTCGTGCCTAAGAAATGAAAATAGCACGCAGTTGAACATTAAAAAAAATAAAATAAAATAGTTAACTGAACAAAAAAAATATACAAGTCTTAAAAAGGTGTTATATCATTTCATGGACAAAACATTACCGAAGTAATTAATCTACAAGTGGTGAAAAAAACTAAAACTTAACTTTCATCCCGCGGACGCATTTTACATATGTTATTTGCAGTGGGGTCAAGATTATACTCGAAATATTCCGAATCGATGGCAGATCTACCGAGGTTTTAACATAAATGTCGAAAAGTAAAGTTTTCAAACGGTTCTCAAGTGGTGTGCGTTACGTTGAGAAAATGAGCCACCCATACAATGACAATGTAGGTTTCCACTTTTCAACAACTGATAAAAATAAAATGAACACAAAGGTCTTCATTGCTTCTCTCCTTGATAACTCGTACCTCCATGGCTAACGGAACCTTTGCACTTTCTACATCCGGACACGAGGACAGCAGAAGTGCAATGTGAGATGGAAGTAAGTTCTCTGAAATTCAAAGTTGTTTAGGTTTTAATAGCACATTGCAAAAACTGTGGTGTCAAAATCAAAACTTTTGGGTGTTATCAGATGATCACACCATAGGGTGTTAACACCGCTGGTGTTACTTTGCATTTAAAACTGTAACATTAACCACTCTGAACCATTTCAAGATGCTGTTTTTATGTTGGCAGAAAATATAAGATGTTTTAACATGACAGAATCCTATTCAGTTCAATATTCTCGTATTACAGGCCTTTCCAACGATGGCATGTGTTAAAAGGTTTGAAGGGCTGAAACATAGCATTTTTGTTTCTGTAGTAAATGTTATTGGTCAGGACAAAAATACACACGTATAAGATAATCTCTGCGACGCATCATAAAATTTAACCTGAAAAGAGCGGTTTTTTTGGCCCTACTCACAGCCGGGGGGGGGGTTCCGCCCCCTATGAACTCGGCACTTTAATTTGATTTTTTAAAACTTGATATGTATGTAAAAGTCTCTTTATCATGACAAATGTGAAGTTTAAACTCAATCAAACGTAGTTTTGTTGTGGTCATTTGAAGTTCATTGATACATGCGTGCGAGCCTGCGTGCATTGAGCACCGCAGTGGAAAATTTTTTAGATGACCATTCTTGGAGAAATGGGTGCTGCGAAAGAACGTTAGTCAAACTTTTACAAAACTGGTACCAAAATTACTGTAAAGAGTTACTCTGAAACTCCTGAAGGCTAAATTCAAATGCGATATCGGGACAAAATGTTGAGGGCGGGATTCTTCCCCCGGCTGTTTGGGGGTTAAAAGAAGTCTTCAGTTTTGAAAAGGGTAACATCCTGAACTACAATTCGATACCGAAAAAACACTTTTGGAAATTTATTTTATGTTCCTTTGGGGTTACGTTATTCGGGTTCACCATGTATAGCGCTTACCGTCTGTATACTTCGAGATCAGTGATCCCACCACTTGCTGAAGAATGGCCGACTTGTGCGTCTCCATGGCATGGTACTCGAGTATCTGCGCCAAAGTAACGACAACACCTCACCAAATCCGTAACAAGATTGTGGCAGAATCGGTTAAAAAGGCACTGGGTTTTCAACAGTGCTACTAGATGATACTGTCCAATAGCGCGTTTGCATGGCTGCCATCTTGCAGGCCAGTGCTTTTGTTCCACAGGCTATGCACAAAGGAGATTTCCCTGTGGAACAAAAGACCTGCCATTCAAGATGTCTACCACCAAAGCCTCCATAGAAAAATGACTTTCTCTGTAAATGTTCCATCGCATTTGCCAATAAAAATCAGTCAGGAATCATTATTTATGATGAAGAACAGTCAAAAGTCGTAATGGAGGGAGCTACTTTTTTTCGATTCTACTTTGTACTTTTTACCCATTTGCCCCTCAAGGTTTACCAACATTTATCTAGAATCTGATCATGTTTAATGCACGCACACAATCTATTTTCGAATTTCATTTCAGGAGAATGCAAATGAACACTATTCAGCTGAAACGAGAAACAAATTGAAAGCAATCTAAATTCACATATTCACGCATTGACCGAAGAAGATTGAAATTGAAATCAAGATTTCCATTCGGATCATTTCTTTGTCAAAGTTCTCCAGTCTGAGAGGACAACTTGTTTCCACTATTTGGAAATACACAATCGGCATAGATGTACCAATGTTGTTCCCAATGTGTCTCGCAAGTCAGAACCGTTTGTAAGCTCGGTCTTTCTGGTCTTTACCTCGCTTCGATCATTGGGGTACCGGCAGATGTCGTCATACTGCTCTTGCGCTGTTTCCCAGCGCCTTGTCAAGTGGGTCACCGCCTTAGCAAACTCTCGCTCCAACGTCGACCGCGTGAACAAGATTCGCTGTAATGAAATACACAGAGTGGTGATCGGTGATCGGTGATCAGCCTACCCGAATTTCGAGTCTCGCTGAAGTTTACATCGTGCTCAACATTTAATTCGGTGTGATAATAAATTAACTGATTTGAGACGAGCTTATGAATTAGAAAACACGACTGACAAGAAAGCAATCTTACCAGCATAAACCGGAACCCGTTAAGTCTCATGCGCCACGCAGGGAGATGAGGCTCGTTCAACTGTTTCCCCTTGATTATACAGTCCTTGTCAAATGCCTGTCACGGGCCAAAAACATTTGCATCTTCTTTGCCTTGGTTCGTTTTTCACTTAAAAAGGTTTCGTACTGTTTCACAACAACGCCGAAGAAGGAGGTAGTATGCTAATAGTATGCCTATATTTTTGATAAACTACATGTACCGAGAAACGACTTGCCTGCACCCCCAAATCGTCCTTTCTTGCTATGGTCATCTGTTAACTACAGATAGCTGGCCCTGTGATCCTATATGCCTACAGGCATTTCGCTCTGACAAAATGCATGACGTTCAAGTCTCCTTGTAGTCAAATTCTGATGGATTTGCCAATGTTATGCCTCTACAAAAGTCGAAACTGTTTTACAAGATAGCTTCCCTTCTTACCTGCCCATAGAGCATTCCACCAAATTGGTTGTCCTGCAGTGGTGTCATTCTTATGAACATTGACACGATATTCTAAATATTAAGAAACGAGTCTTTTATTGTTTTGATGGCAGTGTAGCGGAACAGACAGTATGTCTTGCTGAGACGCAGTTTTCATTTTATTATGTCGATAATGCGGACACTACTTTTGCTTGTTGAGAATGCTACATATATACTGAATGGGTAAAGTGGATACATCTATAATGTCATTGCATGGCATCGCTCAATTAAACCTGTTATTTGTACCTGATGTAGGCTTACTCGTCTTGGAATACCAGACGATACAGGCCATTCTTTGGATTTGTGCGGAGTGTCAGTGAGTTTGTGCCAATACAAATCAACGCCCAAAACTGCGGTTGGCAGTAAACCTTTGCGACTTAACACTGGAATAAAATCTGGTAGAGAGAGTTGTCTGATTACACATACACCTAACAATTTCAAGTCCCCAGACTAAAGACACTGTTGCTTTACGTCGTGAGTGGGGGCATGCATTTTCATAGCGACCACCATCTCAGGAATGGACCTGCTCCTTCGAGCCCGTCTTACCCATTGGGTTGTATCTTGTGCAAGGCGTTTCTTTTGTAACTAAGCAAAAGCTTGCTCCGAATCAAGAGGTATGACAACGGCGCCTTTAGCATGAAGAATTCAAATTGCTGTGTTCACATTAATGTAAAGAACTCAGTGTACCATTATATTCAAATTAAACCCGCAAAAGGCTTGTTCTTTGATGTGATGAAATAGCAACTTACTGTGAGGGAAAGAAACGCATGATTGTAGCCGACCAGAATATTTCGAACAGCCGGACATGAAATCGGCCTTTTGATTGCTAGAACACTCGTCACCTATTTCACGAATAACAGAATACAGACACAGACTGAACATTATGTAAATAGGTCATCTTGGTTTCTCACGTCTAAAGGGAAGTGTAAAGGGAAGTTATTTCGACTGACGGTTATTTTGACTTGTCTGCCAGTTGGTTTGCGACTTATTAAAGCTGACGTTTTAAAATTGAAGTCGTTGGTGCTTTAAAAAAATCAAGCACAGTAATTTAAAACATTTTCCACGTGTGTGTAATATTTTACATGTAGCGTGTAGGATTAAAACAGAGAGTGGATCCTTACATGGTCTATAACATCACAGTCGACAAAGAAATTGGAAAGTGTTAGAGGCGAGACTGCACCCGGACACATCTCCCTGTAGACAGAGATAAGCCAAACGACACCAGAAATTACCAACGCACAGGAAAATCAAGCTCAAATTCGACCGACTGAAAGAATGGACGGATTTTCATGAATATTACCCCAATGTCACAAAGATAACTCTTTTTCGAACTTAAGATTTTTAACGCCAGAAACCTTTCATTAAATACATGAATTAAATACATCCGAATATAAAGTGACAATTGAAAACCAAACATTAAATTGCATGAATAAAAATGGCTCCTGGCCGCCATGGGCAGGCGGCAACTTACTGTATATTTGCTGTACTCATCCAGATGTCGTCCAGCGGTAGACCACTGTCGAACTCGTGCAAGAGTTCGTAGCGCGATGGCACGTTAAAGGTCGTTACGGCACGAGCCTATAAAAGCAGTTGCGCAACATACTTAATAAGGGAAGAATCTTTGATGCTTATACAATTCTCAACTTTCTTTCTTTTTTTCCTTTCCGTCAGGCTTAAATTTAAAGTGACAGACAATTTTCTTTTTGCCAAAACAATTTACATTCTGTATATACATTTTTATAACTAGGGGTGTTGTTTGACAAAGACTTGCACAGTTCTGCATAAATGTTCAAATGAAAGGGGAACTCGTTCAAAGTTTCAATTTGTCAACGCTAACAATATACTTTGTATTTTGAACTTGTAAACCCTAACCTTTATATGTTCATCTTGTAAACCCCAACCCTATCCTGTAAATTTGGAATCCGTCATCCCTAATTCTAGCCCTTAACCTTTGAATTCGCTGACCATATTTCGATGATTTAATCTTTAAGCTCGTCAACCCTAACCCTAGCAATTCAATTTTGAACTCGTTAACCCTAACCCTAACCCTATCCCTTTAATTTGGAATCCGTCAACCCTAACCCTAGCCTTTAAAGTTTGAATTCGCTGACCCTAATTCTAGCCTTTACATTTTGAACCCTAACCCTATCCTTATTTGAATTTGTAACGCTATTTATTATATTTTGAATTCGTTGACCCTGACCCTATTCTGTAAATTTGGAATCTGTCAACCCTAACCCTACGCTTTAAATTTTAATTCGTAAGCCCAAACACTATCCTTTTGAGTTTAAATTCGGTAACCCTATACCCCTTACCCTAAAATTAAATTTTGAGTTTGTAAACCCTAACCCTAGCCTA